CCGGCAGACATGGAGAGGGAATCATCACTGAAGCTGTCGCTTTCAAAGCTGTCCACCGACTCTGCTCTGAAGATCCCACCCCTCTCCTCCTCTTCTTCATCACTCTGCACCATGATAACTGGAAGAGGAAGTTGCACCGCAGGAGTTGGTGTGGTGGGGTGTTTTTTGGCTGGAACAGAAAGGATCGCTGCAGGCTGAGCATAGGGCTCCTCAGACAACATGTTCAGAGACTGTGACCTGTTGAAGCTTTCTGTTTGGATCGGGCTGGGGGAGGCGGGCCGGGAATTGGGAAGCTGAGCGAGGTTACCAGACGAACGGCTGTGGTGTAAGGAAGAGGAGGGTGAGAGGAAGGAGGAGTTCTGCACATGATGCTGAGGCGCCATCTGAATGCGAGGGTAACTGTGGGGCTGCAGGTACAGGGTAGGAATGTAGCCGATTTTACCATTGTGTCTGCAAAATGGAAAGATCAATCATTAACATCAGCAAAGAGATTTAACCACAACCTGAACAAAATAGAGTTGGACTTTAACTAGGCCATTGTAAACCATGACAAACATTTTTTTTTTACAGGTTTTCTATTGCTTCCATGCAATTACCCCAGTTGGTCCTACTACTACTAAGCAATTTATCAACCCCCTCTGATAAAACAAAAACATCCCCATACCCCAAAGTTAGAATATTTTTTAAAAGGTTGATGTGCAGCATTTTGTATTGTGGCCAAAAAGTGAAAATATTCGATATCTTCAAAGCTTCAGATATTAAATGTCTATTCCTTTATCCTCCTGCTGCTGTTCATTCACTGCTGAAGAGCAGCTATATTTATATAGAGATTCTATTACAAAAAGGTTGAGATCATTTACAAATTTAATTCGGAGTTATTACTTGCAGCTTAAAGCCATAGTGGAGGATTTCTTTTTCTCAGTGGATCATCAAAATAAGTGGTCCTCCTAACTGTCAATTTTTACTTACCAGTGGTGAGTCTGATATAGTGAAACAATTGCAAATCTTTTTTTTTTTTTTTTTTTTTGGAGTGGACAAGGCTGTTCTTTTCAGAAATTTGCGAAAATCCTCCACTATACTTTAAATAGGGATTCATTTAAACCCTTGTAGAATAGCTCAGATCTTACCTGACGAGCCACCAGCCGTTTTCAGATTTCTGCAGGACCTCCACCACTGCACCAATGTTCACGCTCACTTCATCCACTGTGGTGGAATTGAAGTTCTTGACGGCTGTGTAAAGCGAACCTTTGGGAGGCACAAAAAAAAACTTAAGACATAATTTTCAACTTTCCAACCATTATAGTCGAGGCGTTTCTTTCTGTTTGGATACCTCGTTCTGGTATCCCATCAGTTTCATATCCATCCTCCTCATCATCATCCAGCTTATCCAGATAGGGTGCAGGAAACCAGGCCATTCTCTTCTCCTCATTCTCTACAAGCCACCACCCTGCAGATATAATCAGCACTGATGAGAATAAATCTGGGACTGTAATAGAAACAGCTGTAGTTCCGTGTTACTCACCGGCTTTGTCTTTGATAAGAACGTCGAGCTTCTCGTCCACAGCGGCTTTGAAAGGTTTGTTTTTGGTGTCTTTGGTTTCATATGGGGCGACACATCTGTAGGTCTCTGTGACGAATGGCTGGGTCACATTACCACTGCTGTTATGTCCTCCAAAACTAGTGATCTCATCCTCAGAGGGCATGATCATGATACTAAGGTAAATAAACACAGATATCCCCACATTAAACACTATATTAACATCCCAGATCAGATCTAATTACAGTAACTCTCAACTTCACAGTGAATAAAAATAGGGACGTCCTGATATAACTATCATTTCCGATATATAATACCAATATTGACCCAAAATAATCTCAGCACAAATCATGATCATTTTCACCCTAAGCTGTTGTGGGTGTGATCATATTGGCTCTGCAGAATGCAAGCGTTGCTGAAGCAGATTAAAAGATGCTACAGAACGCTTCTATTAGCGCTCTTATATCAGAGATTTTAGATGCAGCCCGATATAAACTGATGCTTTGGCTTATATTGGACTGACATCCTACACCTGCATTAACTGCCTTCTTCTAAATCTCATTAAGATGTATTTGGTTTAGCTAAAATGAACCCATCTATTTACCGCATGTCATGGTGTTTACTTCTGATTGGTTAAAGGAATAGTGGAGGATGTTCTTTTTCTGGGTGGATCATCAATATAAGTGGTTCTCCTAATTGTCATCATTCTGGTTGTATCTTTAGGTAAGGCCGTCCTACGTGCTCGTCCCATTTTTCACTTACGTGTGGTAAATCTGACATATTGGGGAAAAACTGCTAATTTTCTTTTGGAATGTAAGCCTGTAGGAGTGATGCAAACAGCAACTGCCTAGTGTTAAACAGAGTGTTTATGAAGAGAAATGGGCTCTTGCATGGGTTTAATAGTCCCCTCTAAGGACCGGGGAGGCATTTTTTTATTTAAGTGGAGAGGGCGGGTGTCTTCAAAAATTTGCAAAGATCCTCCACTATACCTCTTTTTATTCTCTTATCCAACAGCAGCTCCTTGGTTTAGTATGGGTTAATTCAGAAAGAACCAGAAAACCCAGCAGTATATCCTGCCTTATGGGTTTGGAACCAGGCCTGATCACTCTATCAGGTTTGTGACAAATTATTTTTTTTTTAATCTTGTATTTTTTTTTTTCTTATTTTTTATTTTTTTTTTGCTTGTTGTTGAATCCAGAGTGAGGAAGACAATTGGTGAAAAAGAAACTCAGCTTGCTATTTCCTGCCTATCCGTGGCAAACAAAACCCCTTTTGTAGCAAATTTCTCCTTTAATCACAACATAATCTGTTATCTTATAGTAATTACCAGTTCCCAATTACCTTAAAGTGCAAATATCCATGATTAACCATTGATAAATCTAAAGGCAGAAAATAAATCTGTTCTTTTTTTCTTTAAAATTTTCCTGGAGACCTAACAATTATTTATTTGTATAATTATGAGACAGATTTTGATCACGGTTATAGTTTGGTGTAGCATATCTAGGCTAAACTACGAATCAGTTGTAGGGTATGTGAAAAAAAACTTTTAGTTATCAGAAAGCCCCAATAACCAAATATTGATTTAGAAGAATGTTCAATCTGTTCTTTTGTTTAGTTTTTTCCATATTTGTCAAGGTTTGTCTTTAAACAACTCTAAATATTTTAGAAGTTTCTCCTACCAATTTTTAGTGAACTCTGGCTGCAGCTCCTTCTCCTTTGGTTGCAAGAACTTTACAAGGTCTGCAGACTGCGAGACCCTTGGATCGCAGCTCAGAAGATTATTACAGTATTTCTGCAAATACTTAAGTCGCACCAGTGATTTATTAGGCCCCTTCCCTTGGCTCTTCTGCTTCACTTTGTTGCCTTAACGACAAAAAACACATCAATTTTACTCCAACATCATTCAGCTGGTCATTTAGTATTTACACCAAGCAACCCTGACCCACTTTGAAATTTAGGAAGGATTCTGTCGGATTTATTCAGTTTACTTCCAGGTGGAAATTTCTTCTTCAGTTGTTTCTGTAAAGGAAATTATTTTATTAATTAAGCATAAGCTCAGGGGAAAAAATAGAGCATTTTTTTATACTTACATGCATTTGTCTGAAATCTTTAAAGGTTCTGTAAATTGTAATGTCATTCTGATCCGACCAAAGCACAGAGGTTATGAACATCTGGAAGAATGTATACCATACTCAAGTAAACAGAAATGTCCTTTGCTGTTATTTCATAAATGTAGAAACTTAATTTCTCCTTACTTTGGTCTTCTCCTTGTGTAAAACTCCGGTTAAACGGATGTTGATAGGATAAAGCTCAGACTGCATGACGGCTGGATGGATGGATGGACAGACAGGAAATACTGTGCAGATATGAGCTGCAAGATACTTGATCTCATTTAGGAATATGCAGGAGCCTTCCTGCAGGTGAATTTATATTCCCTCCACCTACAGGGGGTGTGGCTGGACAACTCACACTGTCTCTCTTTAAAGGGAAGTCAACAAAATAAAATTCCTGAAGTGCCTCAAAGACAGCTTGGTGGAGAATGATATATGGATCCTAAAGGCACAAATGTGTAAGCTTGTTAGGGGCAAATAGGTTGAACTGAAGGAATTATCGCCTGAGAAAATATTTGGCTTATACTTGAATATAAGAGAAACTAATATGAGAAAGCAGTGGAGAATGAGAAACTACAGACACAAAAGCACTTTATCATTTCTCCACACCCATGGGCCTTTACAGGAAGAAAGTGGTTCAAATCATTTCTCAACTTCTTGAGCAAAAAAAAAAAAGTCAGGATAATAAAAACATTTATTTCCTGTTTGGCAGTAGAATACCACTGAGTTTATCTGTGTAACAACTACTACTGAAATAAGCCTGGAGTTAGAGACTACGATTGTGTCTGCTGCCACCTACTGGTATACGTTGAAAATTTTTATATATATATATATATATACACATATTTTTATTTAGCAGAGAAAAACTGCAACTCCTGGCTTTAAACTAGGGCTGGACAAAATGCCTAAAACTAATATCATACGTCTTAATTTCTGTTCCGTGTGTAATTATAAAATTGATTTAAACTAAAAATAAAAAGCAGCTGAAAGACTAACAATGCCCACACATTCTTCTACAAACAAGAATTAACTTTCCTGTTTATGGAACTCTACAATAACATTTTTGAAATCTTTCCCTTAAAAATAACCAAATGCATTAAAGAAGGACCGTAGTTTAGTGACAAACTCTGTAATCATTGTCGGTCAGTTCGGTGTGTCTTAAACAGCCACTTGATTATTTAAGCACCCTGCTCTCTGATCGATAGACAACCACTCCTTCATGCTAGAAAACCCTGCTTCTCTGCAGCTCCTGGTACATTTCAGCATATAGAAATAGTTTATGGGCATCAAAATATCCTGGATTGGATGAACGGATTAGTCTATATGATCAAATAACAGAATTAAACCGGTCATTGCACACATTTGCATAAAAGTTTATTTCACCTCAATGTCCAAATGGCTCAACATCATCAAACAGACATTCTCATGATAAACTCCTAAACATCTACCATTGCACATCTTAAATCCTGTTACATGATTAATAAATAAAAAACAATTGATGATTGTGACATATGCATTTAATTTCACTGGTTCAATGAAAACTTGCTTAAGCTCAGCTGTAAAACTGTAGGTGAACAGTTTAATGCACTTAGGTTTAACATAATCTCTGCTCAGGGAAGCTTAGAGGATCCTGAAGAGATATTTCTAATTATTTCCACTAAATCAAATTCCAGCCCAAGAAGTTTAAGAGAAGCTTTACAAGCGATTCAAATTGTAAGGCAACAGATTTTTTTCTTAGTGAGAATTTCCCTTTGGTCCTTTTTCTCACTTTCAGGTCTCAGAACTTGCCTCCACCTTTTCCAAATTTAAGCATTTATTTTTTTTAATAATAAACTTTACAAAAGGAACAGTCTACTGTTCCCAAACCAAAGGATCTCTAACTTTTCAGTCTATAATTGGGCAAGTTATTTAACATCATGCATTTCTAATAAAACAAGAGTCGGAATTATTATAGAAGAAAAAAAAAAAAAAACATGCTAGAGGCTAGTAACAATCTTACCTCTACAATTATTTGACTTGCATAGAAAACCATTTATGGAAACCATGGTTAATAATAATGTTCCGATTTTCAATCAATCATCTTAAATAACCTTTGTTATAATACAAACTTTTATCCATAAACCCAGAATAAATTAATTTGGTTAAACATTTTCTATCAAAAATAGATTTTCATCGAAGAACAAAATTAGCTTTTTTTTTTCCTTGGCAAACCTTCACTAAAAGTGCAACATGCATCCAAAGTCCAAAGCCAACTGTGATGCTCTATAGCAGAGAGCAATAAAATACATGAAAAATAATCAAATAAAACAAGCAAAATAGGAAACCAATGACTTTCTTATATCAGTTTGAATGGTTTTGCCTCATAAGTCTCCATCTGTTCAGCTCTTCTTCCATCCATGCTTTACTTTCTGCAACGAGGACGGGACGTCTGGCTACTGCTTAGTTTTCCTTCCAAGGAGGAAAATTCGCCATCCAGCGGTTTGCTGGCATCGTGTCCCAGGTCTTCGCAGAGCGCTATGAGCCATCTCTTCATGTAGAATTTATATCACCGAAATTCATAAATAGGCATACTGCGCTCCTGAATATGGGTTAGACTGAGTGACTGGTACCTGCAGAGATGATACATAAAAAATATATACATGGATAACTACATCAAAATAAGATGAAGTACTTTTGGGGATTTTAAGTGGATTACCACTCTGAGCTCCTGTGGTAATAGTAGCCCTCAATGGTGGCTGTGGACTTCTGGAAGCAAATGTAGTAGAAGCCTGCGAAGGAGGCACCGCTGATGTCTTTGATTGTGTGGTCGGGAACAAGAAACTGCTCCTGAAAGACCAACAACAACTGAAGCTGCATAGTTGGAAAAAAGTGAAGAAAAAAAAAAAAAGTAAAAACCTGCTCACCTTCCACCTCATGAAGATGTAGTCACTGTTTTCCAAGGCTCTGTAGTCAAAGTTGTCCGAGTTAAATGATTTTCCATATTTGTAAAAAGCGGGAAACTTCCCCTGAGAGAGTAGGAAATATGGGAATCAATTATTACAAATACATGATCTAAAATCTATTTTCTTTAATCCATCATCTGTGATGCAAATAGGTCAAAAATCTGAAGATCCTGAGAAGACATCTTGATAATTAAGAAATGTGCTTAATTTTCTTCATTAACAAATGTAACTAAAACCATAAAAATTGTTGAAAAAGCTGGACAGACGTACCCAATGCTTTCTGTCCACATCCTCGTCTGCATCCCACTTCCGTGTTAAAAAAGGCCGCCTCCAGCTAATAATTTCACCAACAAAGAACGTAGTAAGAGTGGGAAACTCCTTAACATGAGGAGAAAGAAAGAAATTAAATTCAGTTTATTCATATAGTGCCGATTCAAAACATCATCTTATGGCAGTTTACACGATTCAGTCATACAGTCAGATTGGTTAAAAATTTCTACCAAGGAAAACCAGCTGATCGCATCATGTCACTGGGTGTGTTCGATTTCAGAGGCTGTATCCTCCAAGGAACCGGTCTACCTGGACTGGATCCTTGGAGGTCCGTAAAAATAATGAGGCCGAAAGAGTTTTGGCTGTGAATTTAAACAGGTCCAGCCTGCCGCGGCTTTTACCGCCATATGCTCTGTTGCCTATCAACCGTGAAATTTGACACACAAAGCAGGCAGACTGAATACCCAACTTCTCACTGCTGTTCTGGGTGTTAACATTTTCGAGGAGCTTCAACAGCTGCATCGTATGAGATTTATTGTCCCCAACACTGCAAATATATTAGAATCTGTCCTTAAATTACAGCCAAACCTATTTACACAGTAACAGATAAAACATTTCAATAAATCAAACATTAACTTCCACATATCTGACCATAAAAACAACTATTTTCGTCAGTTTCAGACAAAACTATTCACATACCTGTATTATATTAAACTGAACTTCCAATATTCACCACTGTTCAGCACTAAGTACCTTTTTTCTCTGAGCACAGAACAGCCACCTTGCTTGGACTCGCAATGAATCATGGGATATCCAAGGCTACATGGGATACACCAGTGCAGTACTTTAAAATGGGCAAGAAGGATGCATTTGTCGGCTGCATAACGAGGAGTCTTGGAATCCGAACAGACCTCAGTGACACACTATGACGTAATCGGCCTACGAATCCTGCCTTCGGAGGACGCAGCCCCTGAATTTGAATTCAGCCACTGAATTGTAGGACACGCTCCTCCTGGATGAGCATGTGGAGATGAAAAAGCTAAACGTTTATTTATAAATTGCATGTTTTTTTCTTTCCCCCATACCAAAAAGCTACTTCTAGGATAGTGAGCAGAGAACATTTCGACAACCAGACATTCTTCCATAAAAGCCAGAATAATGAGTAATGTATTTTTTATTAATCGTGTGTGTGTGTGTGTGTGTATATATACACTATATTGCCAAAAGTATTTGCTCACCTGCCTTGACTCACATATGAGCTTAAGTGACATCCCGTTCCTAATCCATAGGGTTCAATATGACGTCGGTCCACCCTTTGCAGCTAGAACAGCTTCAACTCTTCTGGGAAGGCTATCCACAAGGTTTAGGAGTGTGTTTATGGGAATTTTTGACCATTCTTCCAGAAGCGCATTTGTGAGGTCGCACACTGATGTTGGACGAGAAGGCCTGGCTCTCAGTCTCCGCTCTAATTCATCCCAAAGGTGTTCTATCGGGTTGAGGTCAGGACTCTGTGCAGGCCAGTCAAGTTCATCCACACCAGACTCTGTCATCCATGTCTTTATGGACCTTGCTTTGTGCACTGGTGCACAGTCATGTTGGAAGAGGAAGGGGCCAGCTCCAAACTGTTCCCACAAAGTTGGGAGCATGGAATTGTCCAAAATGTCTTGGTATGCTGAAGCATTCAGAGTTCCTTTCACTGGAACTAAGGGGCCAAGCCCAGCTCCTGAAAAACAACCTCACACCATAATCCCCCCTCCACCAAACTTTACACTTGGCACAATGCAGTCAGACAAGTACCGTTCTCCTGGCAACCGCCAAACCCAGACCCGTCCATCAGATTGCCAGATGGAGAAGCGCGATTCGTCACTCCAGAGAACGCGTCTCCACTGCTCTAGAGTCCAGTGGCGGCGTGCTTTACACCACCGCATCCGACGCTTTGCATTGCACTTGGTGATGTATGGCTTGGATGCAGCTGCTCGCCCATGGAAACCCATTCCATGAAGCTCTCTGCGCACTGTTCTTGAGCTACATGAAGTTTGGAGGTCTGTAGTGATTGACTCTGCAGAAAGTTGGCGACCTCTTCGCACTATGCGCGTCAGCATCCGCTGACCCCGCTCCGTCAGTTTACGTGGCCTACCACTTCGTGGCTGAGTTGCTGTCGTTCCCAAACACTTCCATTTTCTTATAATACAGCTGACAGTTGACTGTGGAATATTTAGGAGCGAGGAAATTTCACGACTGGATTTGTTGCACAGGTGGCATCCTATCACAGTTCCACGCTGGAATTCACTGAGCTCCTGAGAGCGACCCATTCTTTCACAAATGTTTGTAAAAACAGTCTGCATGCCTAGGTGCTTGAATTTATACACCTGTGGCCATGGAAGTGATTGGAACACCTGATTCCAATAATTTGGATGGGTGAGCAAATACTTTTGGCAATATAGTGTATATATATATATATATATATATATATATATATATATATATATATATATATATATATATACATACATATACAGAACTTGGACTTTTAACGTCTACAGGTTGAGTTTTAGTGGATTTGACATTTGGCCATTGCAACCGTCAGTGCAGCTTTACCCAGGGTTGTACTGAAGGCCTCAATGCTTGCAAAGAAAGGTATCATCTCCTACATCTGTCATGAAACATTATTTGAAATAACAATTAAAACTTTACTGTATGTTTAAGGATGATGTGCATTTTGGGAACCCAATAGTGTTCCTTCCATATTTCAACATAATGTTCTTCCCTTGTCAATCATCCCTTTGTGTCCGATTGAATCTGGTCCCCCTTAAAACAGAATACTCTTCAGCTACCATCTTCACACTTCAACACTAGGATGAGGTTTTCAGGCTTGCTAGCTTCTCTTCCAAACATAAACACCCAGTGACAATTATAGATTCATCAAACAACAAGAAGAGCCTCCAAATATGGAAGTTTTAGTCCATAGGTTAATTTGTATACATAACACGTTAAAGATTAAACAAGTAAATAATGGTTATAAAGTATTCTTTTTTAACTAGAGTTGCCATTAAAATGTTTACCAAAGTAAAAAAAAAAGTAAATGATTTCAGTTTGATACGTTATTTGTTTAATTTTCTGTTCAAGACGTGTCCGATTGTACATCAGGTGTTTCCAGAACAAAAATATCCCACTGATGATGAAGACGTCTCAAAAACTAATGCATCATATATGATACACTTGGTGTAACTATTCCTTTAACAGTAATGTTTCATCCCTCTAGGATTGCCCCATCAATGTGAATAATGATATTCTCCTACCAGCTGCAGCGAGGATTTTAACCAGTGCTTTCACTTTAGATCTGGGGTCAATATGCTCACTTTGAGAAAGAACAACTCATCTTATCTCCTAACTGGTTGGTACTATGCCTGAACATCCCCATGGTGTTTAAACTGACATATAACTTCAACAGAAGAGTGTGGTCTCTTCAAGCATTTGTAAATTATAATCAGTGATGAACCAAACTTAAAGAGACCCTAAATTTGTCATCTGATATTTTTCCCTTTAACAATCAACTTTGAAGCATTCATGCAAGTAATCCACCTTTGGTTCCCTCTCTTATGATTTTCTTTAAGATGTCCCAATATGAGGCAATGTGCTTGCGGTGTTGCCATAAAAAAACATCCATGTGTGCCTCCATTCAACTCAATTCTGTTTTAATTTTGATATCATTAGAATTAATGTCATGTAACATTAACAAGCCATGCAATATTTATGACCAACTTTGGCTTTTCTAGACAGGGGCCCTTATTCTGAAAACATGAGCTACAAAAATTGAAATCTAAGCAAGTCATTTTTCTATAATGAAATGCGTTTTCCTTTTGATTGTTGAAAATATGAAAAAACCCAACAACTCTTATTTTAAGCGCATCATATCCAGTTACTTTACTTAATGGGCAAAAATACTCCTTTTGGAGATCGTCCGTTTTATCTGTTCAAATATTTGGAAAAGTTGTTGCACTGTATTAATAAATCCATCTCTAATGACAGAAGAGACAGTAAAGGATTTGTTCCTTGGACTAATTTAACATTTCCCCTTTATTATTCTCTTTTAACAGTTAGTTAGAAATGCCGGTCAGCTTTCAGCATTAGCAATACTGAGGTAGGATCACAGTTTATCCGTTAGATCAGGGCAGCATCCTTTGATCTGTGGCTCCCTTCATATGCAAAACATGTTATTGCCCCTTTTTCCCCCCCTTGTGTGTATGTTTGTTATTCTTTTTGTGCCCAATGAAAAAATAAATAACATTTAACAATTCAACATCCCATCATTAAAAGTCCTGTGATGTACCATTAGATACACATAATACTTAAAAAAATAAATAAATAAAAAGGTGCTTTTCTACACAGAAAGGAGAAAATATATTTTCTCAGAAACATTTAAGCTTTACTATTACTTATCACTGCTTATTTTCCACAGGCCTTGCTTTTTATCTGTAAACCATTTCCTTTAGGTTGCATAATGCAATAGGCAACTGGCTGGGAAAAAAAACAACAAATTTTTTTTACCATGTCAACTTTAATCAACCTGACATTTTCTTGATTCAGCTTGTCTGGAGCAAGCATAAACCAGTCTGTGCTAAGCTTTTTGAAGCATAAAGGTCAGTTTTACTAGATCCTGCCTGGTTTATCCAAGGCTTACCTCAGTCAGGCCTTTGATCTTCAGGTATCCACACAAATATGAGTCCTCCATGGTCACATGCTGTCCAGTGCAAACAGATTAAGGTGCATTTAGTCACAGCTCACAGGGTCACAAAATATGCAAATGCATATGGCAAAAAAATAAAAAAATAACAGGGAGGATTTTAACTAAGAAAACACTTTAAAAACGCAAAAAAGAAAAATAGTATTTAAAAAATGTTATATTAGGAAACCTTTTATCCTTCCCAAAATTAATAAATATAGCTACAGCATGAATAATATGATTTAGATAGCTTTCTCTGGCCGGTTTAAAATATTTTATTCAGATGTCAAATGCTAACAATTATTCTACATCCAAACAAAAATACCAAAAGGAGAAAAAAAAATTCATTAAACTAATTTTGGTTCAACATGCATTAAAAAATACATAAATAAATCACCTGTAAAACAACTTCAACATCGTAAGAGTTCCCTTTACTCCTCTGATAACCCCGATACTGAGCGCCGCTGCAGAGCAGAGAGGTGAACACCCCGGGTTGGTGGGTGTTGATCGGGGCGGGCGGAACAAGACAGGCCGAGGATGGACAGGCCGCGCCGGTTGGACAGCAGCACTCTGCTCTGACAGGCATGACGAGAGGTAGAAAAACGCGTCAGAAACCGACATGAACTTTTAACACTGAGCACACCACAGCGAGAGACCGATAGAAATAACAGACACGGTCTTTATCGTTAAATTAGTAAACGTTAAACTATACACGAGACTTTATGAGACTGTCACAGTAGAACTGAGGGTAACTATCGCGACACTTCCTATATTGGCTCAGCTCCTCTGAATTTAATTGGCTAAAACCTTAGCGCTTGGTTGGAGCAGGGATTATTATTGGACGATGTGTATTTAAAATGTAACTAAATCTGACGTAACCCCGCCCCAGTCACATTTTTGAAAAAATGCCACTTATGGTCAGGTTAAGTTCAGAAAAAGAGGGCGGCGACGAATATTTTCCAGTAATGTTCTCTACCAGTGGTTTTCAAACTCAGTCCTTTTCAAACTCAGTCCTTAGGACCCAATGCATGTTTTAGGTATCCCACTATGGAGGACCAAGTCTGACATAAATAAATACAGAAACTTAATGACATAAAATTGCTTGAAAAAGTAACTAATAATATGAATTTGTGTGTCAGAGTTAGTACTCCATATTCCCCTGCCTGCAAATACACGTCTTAGATAAAAGAGTGATTATTAGGCCCCTGGAGCCTGTGGCATCTTGCTGAGGAGGGAGATGAATCCTTTCATGCAGGTGAGTATGGAGGACCAACTCTGCTATATTTAAAAATAAGAACAGAAATAAATAAATGCTCAATAAATGAACACGCATATAATTAATTGCCCACAAAAATACAATAAACAAATAAATATAGGTAGAAATTAAATAATATTGTGAGACATAAATGTATTTATCTCTTTTAATTAGCTTCTTTGTTTATTTACCTTTGTAATATTTACCTTATTTATTTATTGTCCATTATAATCTTCAACTTTATTTAATGTATTGCTTAAGTAGTTATTTATGTGCATGATATATTTTTGTCTGTTTTATTCCTCCTTTGTATTTTTTTACCCTCTTTATTTCCTCAATGCTATTTATTTCTGCCTGTCGTTTTTACACATCTGTATGCATTTCTTCCTCATTATGCAAATGAGGAGGGGTTGTTTCTTAGGCCCCGTCCACACGAAGACGAACCCTGGCCTAAACGCACAAATTTTTCACCAAACCAGCCTCTCATCCACACGAAGCCGGCGTTTCGGGGGTCTGTAAACGATCTTTTTTTTATTCAGCCTTCAGAGTGGGAAGATTCGGAAACGGCGTTTTCGCATTTCCATCTTTACGCTCTAACCGCATATTTTTTTTTTACACGCATGCGTCATAGCGTCGCCTCTAAACACGCATGCGCGACACATCACAACAACAATGGCGCCGTTGCTGCTAATGCTACTCACCCTGCTGTCGGGCTTACAACAGAATCTTCTTCTTCTGGAATATCTCCAGGAAGAACAGAGCAATATCGACGACATAGTTCAGTACCTGAATTTGACTTCGTGTGGACGCTCACATTTATTTTACGTCTCCGTCTTTACGGCAAACGTTTTGGAAAATATCAGCGTTTCGTGTTCGTTTTGACTTCGTGTGGACGGGGCCTTAGAGATATGGCAGAGTTGGTCCTCTATAGGTGTGTGATGGAGCAGAGACACCTAAAACACGCTGGACAGTGGATCCTGAGGACCGAGTTTCAAAGCCACTGTTTCATCAATTCACTTGCATGTGCTCACACCCCCCAGTCCTACTTCTTTTTCATCTTTTGTGTAATTTAACAGCGGTTAACAAAAACAATTTGAAAGTGCATTACCGCCACCCACCAGTATGGATTGTGGAACAAAATGACAGTATACACACACACAATTAAATTGATCTACTTTTTCTATATCTTTATCTGATATAATTACTATTTATTATTAACAATATCTTAAACTTTAATGTTCAAGAGGCTTCTGTTCTTTCCTCTATCTCCAATTTTGTAATAATGTTTTCCCAACTAACTTATTTGAGTCCCAAAAACGTTTCAGTTCCTCTCTCAATGATCCTTAAGTTCTCTGTCTTATGCTTGCCTTGGTCGGTGCAGTTAATGACATACACTATTAATAAAATTAGTTTCCCTACTGTTGGATTGAAACTATCTTCTCTTTATACTTAATTTTCCTTTTGTACCTGATTCTGTACTCGATTCATTTCTCCTGTACTTTGTCCTTGAACTCTCTTCACTGCTTCTACGTAGCTTGTATTTTTTGTTGTTTTAACATATTGTATTTCCACTGCTTTCTTTCTCACCTCACATCGTCCATAGCTGACTCTGTGCAGGCCTTCACAGTTGCAGCACCTTTCTTCAGTTTCTTCCCTGCACTCCTCAATTTTGTGTTCTTCTCTGCCTTTTGACCATCTTTTCTTCCCCTACAAACTGCTACCACGTGTCTGTAGAGCTGACGCCTGTAGCACCTGAGTGAAGGTGGAATGAAACTCATAAAACCTATTTTGACTCTTTCTGCTTTAACTGAATCTGAGAACTATCAGCAGTGACGTGCTTGCCACCATTTTTCTTTGTATGTTTTTATAAAGTCTCTGTATCCCTTTAACATAGCCTCTGATGTTATTCTTTAATCTATCTAAATTCTTGTTAACTGGCATTCCTGTTATTATTCCTTTAACTGTGTTATTCTCTCCTATAACTTTTGTCTCTATGACCTCTCTTTTCACTAAGTGTTCAACATCCAATGCTTTGTCTTTAATTACTGCAGATTAACACCAAGTTTCCATGTCACAACACCTTCTCTAATTCAACTTCCCCAATTTTCTTAATTATTTCTCTGGAGATAAAAATGTGACTCAAATGATTTATCTTCAGCAGTGAATCTAAATTTTTTTTTAATATTCCTTCTCTGACAACCTTCCTTTGCACAACTCTTTCTTCATCTAAACTGCTTTCTGGTAATTCCAATTTATTTCCTTAATCTCAAACGACCTTTTACCTCCTCTACCTCTCTCTTTCCCATTTGAAACTGTTGTCCCGTCTTCCTCATCTACCTGATTTGCCATTTTGTTCCATCCGCCGCTTCACACATGCACATGTTGCTGTCACTCCCCAGTCCTCAAGGGCTAGTGTCCTTTTAGATGTGTCCCTGCCCCGACACACCTGAATCAAATAGTTTTATGATTGCAAGGACTGAAGGACCTACATTCTGAGGACGTAATTTGGCCATTTGATTCAGGTGTGATGGACCAAGGGCACATCTTAATGAGATCATCACCTGAGAATAGAACTGTTTTATGTTCAAATGTGTTTGTTGATCTTGGGCCTTATTTATACTGGAAAATCTGGAGTGTCAAAGTGGCTTCGTTTTTTTTTTTTTTTTTTTTTTATGTGGATTCTTTATTCATATCAGAAAAACCAATAAGAACTTGTTCTCCATAAAGTGAGATTTTGGTCCTCCTCCTGGATTAATGTAAGTTGTGGAAAGATTACATTAGCTCGCCTTGCTTTAATCACCCCCGTTTCTATTACACCATAATAAGCCATACCAAGTCAGGAACTATCTTGCAAGTAGTGGGAGAGAATTCAAGTTTGTGTACGGTTTGACTGGGAAACACAGAAACAACCCATTGCAAACAGATAATGCTGCTAACGCTTCATTCACATAAGCACACAAACAGACAGGTATAATTCTTGTGTGTACCCTCCTACATTCCAGGAGTTTAAAAAGGATTGGAATCCACTCTTACTTTTTTTCTCCTAAAATTAATGTGACATTCATTTAAAGACAATTTAAAGATGGCAATCAACATTCAGGTTTTGGACTGTGGCAGGAAACCGGAGTGTCTAGAGAGAAGTCATACATGCACAGAGAGTACATGCAGAAGGCCTCTGTATTGTCCACTTATTTCTTATAATGGATATCTTGTCCATTAATCACGCATTAACCCGATTAAAGCGTAGTCCCATATGAGATAAATAAAAATCAAATAAATTATTATTAATATGTAAAAAAAAGAAAAATGTTGTTAGAATCATACATTTTTACAAGAAGTGGCAAATTTGATGCATTACCAAGGTAATTTGGATATGCTGGAAGAGGAGGAAGCCGTACAGACATGGTAGGCCCAAACAGGTAGAGACATTTTGTTGGGATTTGCAGTCAGAGCCCTTGGTCAGGGATTAATTCAACCACTATCTAGGGGAAGCCTTTTCTCGAATTTTCGTTGAAGGTGGGAGACATAAAGTCTGAGTCGACCATATTCTCTGACTTTACTGTTGATGCGGCAGCCCATAGCTGTGGCCATAAGGCCTGTGGTGCATGTCACAGTGACATCCCCCTGAATTCTCTGGTGGACATCTGCAGTAAAGGAGGGTGTCAAGTCAAAGAGGGAGTCCAGTCAAGCATGGTTTGCCTGTGAGGCCAAGCATGCTTCTGTCCACAGGGTTGAACAGGCAGAGGAGTATATGAGGCCATGGAGAAAGATTAATGGTCGGCCGTTGCAACAATTCTGGAAAACTCTCCTTCGAACTTGGCCTGTTTTTCAGTGTAGTCCTGTTTCTCTGATTGTGACTACCTAGATGTGCTCTCTTCATCCTCTCACATGGGAGCTGGCTCGGAGCTTGTCTGCCTGGCTGTGTGTTTCCTGGACGGGGCCACCTGTGGAGCTGGTTGACAGTTGCCTTTTGTATCTCTGCTTCTTTCTCTATGTCTGCTTCTGTCTCCTTGAACCCCAGTCGGCCTCGGCAGATGGCCACTCTCACTGTTCCTGGTTCTGCTGTAGGTTTCTTCCTGTTAAAAGGGAGTTTTTCCTCTCCACTATCGCTACAAGCATGCTTGGTGTGAGGGATTGTCTTCCAGTCAAGGAGTCGATGCAATCAACTGGTTTTACTTAGATAGAAAACTTTAAATCCATTTGACTGTATGATCTGCTTGAATTGTAAAGTGCCTTCAGATGACATGTGTTCTGTATTGGCGCTATACAAATAAACTGAATTGAACTGAAAGGAATAATTAGTATGTCCTTAACCCAGGCATCATGCCATTCCTGGTGGAAGTGCTTGGATTAAGACTTTGTTATCATACAGACTGAAGTAATGGAGGTGGTCAAAAAACGCCACAGTGCCAAAGCTTTGGGTGGATGGCTCTAGGCTGACTTTGCCAGGTCTCAGAATGTAGTTGGGCTATTAAGGTTTTTTTTTTTGGTTTTTACTCCTCTTCAGTTCCACATGCCGATTTGGGACTTTTTTTTTTTTTGTAAATATATATCAACAGAACTTTATAAAAGTACTCATACCCCTGGAGCCCTATTCTTTTAGGGGCAACAACAAACGTTTTTTGAGAATTTTGCAAATTCTCAGTCAGATTGAATAGGGAGGCAAATATAATTTCTAATTCTAGCAGCAGGTTCTCAATTATCTTTAGGTCTGGACTTTGACTGAACCACTATAAAATATATATACTTTGAGTTCAATTGTATCAGTTTACAACGGGTTGTATAATTGGCTCCATAGTCAATCTAGAAGCTGAGTTTATTCCCAGAAATAAATCTGTTGATAAAGAAAACCATGACCACATTATGATGCTGAGGTAAGGATTTATCATCAAATAATTTTTAAAACTTCTCTCTAATTTGTTCATGACCTAAGTGGTGTTTCTTAGTGTTTATAATGTTAATTTCTCAAACCCCTCAACTTCTGTTAAGATTCTCTCAGGCTTTTACAGAACAACTAATACCACAATTAAATCACAACCTGGTGAGTTAAACTTTATTTAGTTTTACCAAAGTACAAGGGGCTGCATATGCATGCAAACATTTTCTGTTATTTATTTTATGAATTAGACAACAAAAACCCTTTGACTTCACAAATATGCACGATATCATATCGATCTACCACATAAAAACTCAATGTGTATATCCATACACTGTACAAGTATTTTAACTCAAAACGGGAGAAAAATAATTGGATGTTATTTGCTAAAAGTTGTAACATTGAAGAAATCTTCAGGGACATTTCCACTCTGGTGCAGTGACCTTAAGTCACTTTAAGTGTAAGCCTTCCAGCTCTTTTATCCATTGGTCGACATATCGATTCATGTTTGAGGTGCGCATGCAGGTCCATTTCTCCTCCTCTTCCTGAATCTACAATAGAGGATAAAGATGAGGGGTGCAGACAGGTTGTCATTTGACATACACTTCACGTCTTGATAGATTTACCTGTTTGATAGCTGCTTTCAGGTCATTTACTGGTGAAACCATCTCGTTTTCTGTGCCATTGATCGTCTCCAGATGGTCATCATGGCTGTCTGAATTATTGCCAGTAGACAGCTACATGTAAAGAAATATTTAGTCTGAGTTGCATCTTTATTTATATATTCTGATATAAAACATATTGTTGGCCATAATTATTAACTTTTCTGGCAAATTTGTAAAAACCTCAAAATGTCTGTCAAATAGTCATACAAAGAGTTACCGTAACTGACAGGTAGTACATTGGAGTCCCTTTGAAATAAATCTATAATTTAGTTTAGTTTTTAATTCATGCTTTAGTTTTTTCTGTTTTTAAAAACGTGCAAGTAGTCATCAAGGACCCTCTTTAGAAATAACACATGACACAGAGACCCAACTTTAGCTGAAGGCCAGTATGCAGGACACTGTTTGCTTCCAGGTGAGTCGGTTTCTCTTCCCAAAGCCTTGATATACTAAAATAAATGTAAAGATCTGGTGGCCTCTCCTGAATACCTGAATACCTTAAACCAAATAATTGATTGCAGTAATATTTGTATGTCATTCTTGCTCTTGATCATTTTGCCAGACAGCATGCATTTAACAAAAAATGGTAAAGAACTTAAATTATTACTGTAGTTGCTACCCTGACAAAGAATTGAGTGACATCATTGTAGAGTATCTCTAAAAGTTACCAACATTGTCTGAGATCCAGCTGTCAAACTGTTTGATGTTTTCCTGAAATAAAATAAGCACCAGACTTAAGTCAAGTATCTTATCTCAAAACACTTATTAGATTCCCAGATGCAAGACAATATTCAAACACAATCTCACATTTTTCTTTCCAATCAGTTCAAATTCCAGAGTCAAGAGTCTTTCACGGAGCTGCAGGATTTCATCATTGCAGTTCTCGATTTTGATCTTTTGTAGCTCTCGGTCCTCTAGATTCTGCATCTCCACCATCCTCTACAACATTTGAAATAATAAATCAGAAAAATCTGAATAAGAAGGCACTAAACATCTATAATGATTTTTCTATAGAAAAGAGATATGACAAACTGGATTAAATGTAAAGATAACGCTTACCTGCATGTGCTGCTCCTCAAACTCTGTAAAAATCTGTAATGTCCTCTGCTGGAAGAAAGCCTCAGTCTCAGCCCAGTGAGATAAAAATGTGTTTAGATCTTTCTTTATTTGATTTTGCTTAGCTAAGTCCTCGAACACTATGCGTGAGAACAGCTCCATCAATTGGCTCTGGTCTGTAAATGCTAAGTCAAGGAATATGGCAGATTTAGTCAGGTTGTGCAGACTGAGGAGAGGAAACATCTGCTAAGTTTAAAGAAAACAGGATATGTCTGAAGCACAAGAGTCCCTCTTGTCACAGTGTTGTCCACAGACGTACCCTGTAAAAGAGTAGAAGTAGAACTTAAAATGGACAGAGAGTCAAGAAATAAAATGTGCATTCTTGAAAAAAATTAATTTGAGTCTTTGTACCTGAGATTCCTGGTTTTGGTCAGACCTTTGAGTTTGCTTGGCCTCTGACTCCAGAGCCCTAAATGTTTGATCATTTTGGTATTTCAAGATGGCTTTCTCTCTCTGAATATGCACAGACACAAATAGATTATACTGTACTTGTTAAATGAAAAATCTAAATGGAACATCAATATGGGGCTACAAATCTGGCTGCACTGTTTTAAAGTAACCTCAGAAAGTAAATGTAATGAAAAAGAAGATGTTAAATACATTTATTTGAACATGTAAGAAGAAGATATTTTTAAAAACTTTAAACAAAAAAGCAATTAGTCAAAGCAAGACCACAATTAAGAAATCTTCATAATAAGCCAAGGATACAAAGTTATACGTCCATACAGAGAAGGAGGGTGCGTAACTTATTTAATCACACTCCTTGTTCCAGTGAACAATATACTTAAACCATTTTATCTGTTACTTTTTTATTTTCAGTTTTAGTAATATTCAAGAACCAAAAGAGAATAAAAAACTAAAATGAAAGTAAGCAAACTAGTCAGTAATCTTCTGTACTGTTCATTGATTTAAAAAGAAAAACACAAAATACAAATGTCTCAGGAAAATAGCTGAGATACAGCAATGAACAATACAGTATATGCTATAATCTTTGATCAAAAAAGAACTTAGCTTTATACATAACAGATATAATCGGTAATATTTTGTTACCAATATAATTAACATGATCCTTCCATTTAATTTGATCATCTATGATTACTTTGTGATATCATACTTTTTCTATGCAATTCAGCTTATTTCTATAGCGCCAATTCACAACACATGTCATCTCAATGCACTTTACAATTCAACCAGATCATACAGTCATTTTGATTCAAATCTTCGTTCTAAGGAAAACCAGTTGATTGCATCGACTCATTGACTCGAAGGCAATCCCTTAGAACAAGCATGCTTGAAGCAACAGTGCAGAGGAAAAACTCCCTTTTAAAAAAACCCTCCAGCAGAACCAGGGTCAGTGTGAGCGGCCATCTGCCGAGGCCGACTGGGGTTCAAGGAGACAGAAGCAGACATAGAGAAGGAAGCAGAGATACAAAGGCCACAATTCAATCCTTAGGGACATCCAAAAACACAAGATTCTAAACTTACCATCCTTTGGGTAATGGTAAGATGGTCTAGCCTCGTCACACTTGGGAGAAAGGCAGCAACATACATTTTTTCATCCTCCTTCTCAGTGAATGGATTTCCAGTGATGGAGATCGAATCCAGTCTTTTGAACCTTCTGAGGTAGAGCACCTTTGAAATAAATATGATAGCCAAATATTTGTTCAAATATTCCATCATTTTACACAAAATTCTGGTTATTTTGATAAAGAAAAAAAATTACATTGTCCAAGTGCCCGATGAGGTTGTGAGATATATAGAAGTGGGTGAGGTTCTCAAGTGTATCCATGTTCTCAAGAAGAGAGATTTCGTTGTTCGACAAAGCTAGCAATTCAAGCTTCCGCAGAGACTCCAGACCCTCAATTTTCTTGATTCTGTTGAACGACAGATCTACAATGCATTTAAAATAAACATGAATGAATGTCACACCCCTTAAAACTTCACGCATTTTGTCACATTAGAATCATGGGTTAAATGCAATTTCTTAGTATTTTTGAGGCTTGGAACAGATCAACACAAGGAGTTTAAATGTATCTTACACCTAGTAAAAAGGAATTTTAGAAAAAGAGGAATTTTTCTTATCAGCAGGTTCTTTGTGAACACTAGTGAAGAAACGATGTAATGTGGACCAAGATACACACCAGACAAGTCAAAGATACAATTATGAAAAAGTTTACAGCCGGCTTAGGTAATCAAACATTAGTAAAACAAGCTGTGAATATCTCACCTAAGGTATATGTAAAAAATACAAACCTACTGAAACAATATAAACTGACAGGTTAGGAAAGGAAAGTCTTAATAGCAACAGCTGAAAGGCCCAACTGTGGATAAGATGGGGAGATCTACAGCACGGGGGTCAGGATCTTTCATCATGACAAGTATTAGTTGAGAACTCCACAACTCTTCTTTTTTTTATTTTTTTTATGGAAAAGTAAAAAGTTCAAAATCCTGTTTGTAGTTTGCAAAGCAGCATGTACAATTAAACCTGCAGATTTCCAGCTCTAATTTCTGAAAATTGACTCTTTCCCGTAATGCATCAGAAAGAGGGATGCACAAATATTGAGATAATGCATATAATATGCCCAAACTTACCTGATCTATTGCTTTTATCTATATCTATCCTCCCATGTGATGAGCAGGCATACCTATCTTGAGAATGGGGTTAATGGGTTATGTGATGTCTGTTGGACTCCACTGTATTTCATCCAAACACAACATCTCAAAAAATATGCGAGCAACATCCCAACAGTACTGCAGTGGTGAAAGTCCAGAACTATGAGAGGCTTTTTTTTTTTTTTTTGCCAGCAGTGAAACCAATCAAAGGTGCTACAGCTAAATTCAGAACAAAAAATCATGGACGAAATAAGCAGAAAGTTAGACCTCTAAATGCGTAAATCTAGAGAAGAAATACCCCAAAATGTTAGCAGCTGTACTTAGCAAAATTACTAACTATTAAGATTGATTTATGGATGAATTCGGGAATCCTATCGCAAAAAAAAAAAAAAAAATAGGAAACCTTGCTTTCTTTATATTTTCAGGATATTTAATAATTATTGAAACTCTTTTGCAACCTTTGGAGATAATATTACAAAAAAAAAAAAAAAAAAAAAAAAAAAAAAATCATCAGTCAAGGTGTTAATAAATTGCTACAGAAAACCATTCCTGCCTAAAGAGCTTTAACATCCGACCATATAACATGACCAGATCTGGAACATTTCAACAGGTATGAATACTTTTTAAGTAAAGTCTTATTAAATGCAGAGTTTATCTAACACACAGTGGTAAAAGGCATTATAGGCTGATATGAAAGAAACTATCACTTACCAAGCCATGTCAGATGAGTCAAATTGTCCAGGCCACAGATCTTCTCTATGTTTTTTCTCATAAGATCCAGTTTTACCAGAGATGTAAAATGAATAAGGAAGTCCATATTCCGAATTTCTGGAAGCAACAACAAAATGTATCATCACTCAAAGGTTGACCCAAAACTTTATCATGCCAAAGGTAATTTTTTTGTCATGATTTTTACCTCTGCCTTCCAAATCTAACTCGATTATATCACTACAAAGATTCTCAGGAATTTTGTTGTTTATCAGAACCCTTCTTTCACGGAAATAGCGATCATCTTCGATCAACTCCACTATCTCCTTTAACGTCAAATCGTCGTAATTCTCCATATTGTTGCGGTTTACAGCCTGTCACAGATTAACCCAAACAAAAACTCTTAATAAATTGACATAAATTTTACTATTACATTTATGTTATCTACATAAATATAAATTTTGGCAAGCCACTTACTTACCGATGATAACTAAAAACAAAAATCAAATTAACGGCTCCTTTTATAGATTTAAATCCGTTGGAAACGTGTTATGCTGCTACCGTTTGTTTGTCCCTATTACCTAGCAACGAGATGACGCGTTCAAGGGATGAAAATAACTGGATAGTTGACCGTAAAATACTAAATCTGTAAAAAAAAAAAAAAAAAAAAAATGGCTTATGTTACATGTTCGTTCTTTGGGTGCTTGCTAGTTTATTTATACGTCGTAACCAAAATTGAAATTATAGTTATTAAATAAAAAAGGACAATAGGATAGCTTAAATGATCAATTTCAATACTTTTCTTTTGCGCTCTTTTTTTTTTATCATGAGATACATTTGAGAAATGCCGTCCTAAGGTTCATCGTAGATTTGTTTCTGCTTTATGACTGACCTTGGTTTTAGCCAATCAAATTAGGGCTCGCGTTGTTTCAACCAATTGGTGCCCAGTGGGCGGGGTGTAGCCATACAGCCAGAAGCCTCTGGGCCTCAGCCTCCGTCATTTCCAAAGTGGATCGTTTGTTGTCAAAATGGAGTTTCTGCTTGGAAATCCTTACAGCACGCCTGTGGGCCAGTGTGTAGGTACGTGAAGGCGGGAGAGTGTTTATGAAAGATACGTCGTTTCGGTCGTTACAATGAGACATTTAGAAATCACTCTTAGTCTGGAAGAATTGGACGAGCTTTGCTCGCATCTTCCCAGCAAACGTCATCCACTCGGAATGAGCTGTCAGCTAACGTTAGCCACGAAATCTGAGAAACTTGTCTTTACTCGATTTAAAGTTCGGGTAAATCTGCTTGTACATGTGAGGAAAATGAGTTGCAGCTTTTAAGGAAGCCAGAACACTGAGATGTGATGCTAACTATGGTTATTACGGTTTGCTGAGATTTGGCTTCCAGTCTCTGAACAACATTGAGCAGAGTGATTGTTCAGTGTTTCAGTTCAAACATCTCATTTGATAAGGCAGGTCTGATGAACCACACCCCATGTGTTAGAAAGTGCTCCTAATCCAGGCACGATGGAATTATTTTTGTTCAGGATTGAACAGTTTCAACTTTTTATGTTTCAATGTTTATTGCAGCGATAAAAAAAAATTAAACTAATGGGATATACATTATTTTCATGTAGAGGCCAAGTGTTTATTTCTTCTGCTTATGATAATTATGGCTTATGGCGAATTAAAGTCCTCAAATATGTTTTTTTTTTTTATTAGGATGGTACATATCAACTCAACTCAAACTTTATTTACAAAGCACATTTAAAACAAATTGCTGTACAGGAATCACATTTGCAGAGCATAAGATAAAAACTGAAAACTAAAATACATAAACAATAAAAAAAAGAAAAAAAAGAAAAATTGAATGGAAATAAAATATAATAGGATACATCTTTCAATTAAAATACATTTTAACATAAAATACAATTTTACCAAATGTCCACTTAGACCTGATTAAAAGCCAGGGAGAAGAAGTGTGCTTTTAGAGAGGAATTAAAAACCTCAAAGGAGCCTGTCGATCGAATATGCCAAGGCAAGTTATTATGCCAAGACGCATGCTTTGGGGCTAGACCATTAAGAGCTTTAAAAACAAACAATAACATTTTAAAATCTATTCTAAAAACATCCCGGAAACAATTAAATATTGCAATACTGGAGTGTCAGGCCCATGCACTGTAGTATATATAAACAATACTTGATCATGGTATGACCATACCAAACAACCGCTTATATCAGGGGTTTTCAACGCTTTCCCCCAAACTGATGGCGAGATGGAGCAGGGACCCCCTAATTATATATATTGTATGAAATAGTGTTATATCGAACTGGTCCTATAGTCACTCGATTACATATGGAGTAAGGTAAAGAAAGTAATTTCTCCCTGGGATTATGAAAGTATTTCTAATTCAGATTCCTCGTTGATGGGACAGGTGTTGTGAATGAAACGGTGCCCACCTTGAAAGAGCTCCTGTGTGTTTACCAGAGTGTGTAGAATTCATGTTAAGGTGGATTTAAAGACATTTCAATTAGTGGAAAAAATTTCAGGGGGGAATATAAAAAAAGTCTTATCAACCAAAACTTTTGTGACCCCCCATGCCGTTCCTCCTTGGACCCCCTAGGGGTCGCGGACCCCCTGTTGAAGACCTCTGCCTTACATAATGGCATGAAGGAGATTGGGATTTTATGTCATAGTTTAAAAAATGCTAGGAATTGATATGTTTTAAGATTAATTTATAGATAAGATAACAGAGATATATATGGAATGTGTAGCTCACTTTGTTACTACTTTGTATTTTTTAGGGGTATATCTCTACCCCTGCATTTAGAAAATGGCATCTTTGCAAATTCCCCTTTGATACATTGATCAAACTGTAATTTTGAATGGAGAGCATTCTACATCCTTTTTTACGACGGTTGTTAAAGCGGGTAACTTTGGCAGTGGGAATTAGATGCTCAAAAAGTTTAGCAAATTTGGACCTAATCAAACACATTAAACCAACATCCATAGATGAGTTATCACTGGCTGAGAACACACATAGACAGAATCTTAAGCAGCTTGGGATTCTGGTCCTTTCCACTCCTTTGTCATTTAACATTGCTTTAGAAACCAGTGCAACAATCCATTTCTGTCTCTTTTGGCTTAAAAATCCTCTCCAAGCTGTGGTCCTAAGGTTTGCTTGATTCCTTGTTTTTTACCACATATTTTCCCTCCACTTCCTGTAAATATTCGTAGGTATGGCGCAGTCAGTACCTGTTGGTTGGTCAACTGGGAAGCCATTAGTTATTTCTGTGATTTTTCTAAATCATTGTATCGTTATAGTTTTTTTTAATCAGCATTGTTTTGCTTGATCTTGGATTTTCACATTTTTAAAAGACAGAATACCAATACTCTGAATACCTTAAAATATTGTCACACTGAGTTAAATTTTGCTTTATTTTGTATAAGTGCTTAACAATAATCTATGATCCTACTGAGCAAGCATGGTCCATGTTGAGATTGACAAAAACTTGTTTTTCATGTGAAAGAAAAATGTATGCATTTAATTATTTGTCCTTTTATTCTGTTAAATAAATGCCACCAGTTTAAAAAAAAAAGTATAATAAACTATAAAATAATCTTTGCTTGTTTGATTTCTCTGCATAACTTTCTAAACATAATTTCTTAGAATTAAACTGTAAACTAATTTCCAGGAAATCAGGTTCCAGTCGATGTTACAAGATTTTTTTCTTTAGATTTTTCCTAGATATTTACATGCATTGGTTCAATCTATTTTAGAATAATAATTTATTAGCACACTACCAACCTTCCATTTATTGTCTTTAAGACAATGTTCCTATGGAGTCCTAAACAAATGATTGAATTTGATATTATCTTCCCAAGTCTGGATGGCTATGGAAAGAAAAGAATGCCTGGAAAATAAGCATGGAAAAATGTTTTAGTATTTTACTTCTTTTTCTATGATCTTTAAGTTGCAATTTAAAAATTCCTCAGAAATAAAAATGTTTTTACAGTACTTACATTTAACTGTGTTCTTTGATCTCAACTTAGCACATTCAAATTTAGTTTTTTGTCCAAATAATAGATTTATCAAAGAAGAACAATTTACTGTTGTTGTGCCTCAAGAAACCGTATATCTGTTTTTTTCTACACATAGAGCAAAAATATTCAGTATGTCAAAAAAATTTTGTTTAAAGTTGGAACGTAAAGTTGCTTTCCTAGCCAATATTTAGTAAATACAAATCTCAATATCTAGCATGTAAAAACGGTCAGATATATATTATATAAAACAGAAAAACATCTTTAGAATGTTTTTTTTTTTTTTTTACTGATGTATTTTTTGGTGGTACTCTCTTATCTGTTTAGGGTTCTATCTGCAAAGAAATTGAAACATAACTTAAAACTTTTTACTTATTTTATCAATTAATGCATATGAATAAAAGATAATGCTTTATAATACAGTCCTGTGACTACATTGTGTGGTGTTTTGCATTGCTCATTAAGACTTTTCACGCCAATATGTGCATCCAGCTGCTCCCTGTGTGGCTGTGACCGGGTGACAGAGACCTTTTCTCTGCAGGAGACGGGCCGGTGATCATTTTACCTGGCCCAAAGATGGTAGAGGATGGGAAAAACAAGCCTTTCCTGTGTTCATTCCTTCATTCTTTTTAGCAGTGGTAGTTTTAGAGTTCATGGAAAGCGTTGAACAGATTGACTAATTTAGCAAAAAAAAAATATATATAAATGTATGAAGACAGAATAAGCTGTTGTAGAGTGGAGATAGGAAGGGTCTTAAAGCTTTTCTTTGAGGAGAGACAGGCCTGAGAGGGACTTTGCAGCTTTGTTGGTGAGTACACGGTACAGCTTGTCACCATCAGGGGCACGTGATCAACTGGCTTCAGTTTTGCTGTTTTATGACAACAACCAGTCAGGGTTGGAAGATGTTTAGCCCCAAACCACAATGAATATACTTAGTTTTATTACTAAAGCTCCAGTTGTTGACACTATTCCTGCTCATACGTTCCTTTATGTTGGTTTTCCTCCTTATTCCCTCCTGAACACTTGTGCTCTGTCCCGCTCTGACTCCACAATCCATTTGAGAAGCTTACGGGAAGAGTGTTGTAGTTAATTCCTTCAAAGTCAGCTTCTAGATGCTCCTAATACCCAGAAGTCAGACACAGCTTTAGGTGTCAGGAGTAACTAGCGAGAGCATCCTGACTCTTTGCATGTTGGTGCGGTTTTCATCCTCTGCAGTCCTGGGAAAAAAAGGAATAGCGCACCTAGAAAAGCTTACCCCCTCCCTCCTATGGAACATCCAGGCAAAGATCTTTAGTGTGTGATCCCCCTTGCTTCCAACCATAATCTCTTAGTAGTAACTGCTACATGTTTTATACTTGTGTTTGTTTTCTCTTTTTAAAATGACAGAGCACATTAGTAAAATTTAACCATTGTCACAAGTTCTAACCCCCCCTTTTCAGTTTTTGATAGATAAAACAATATGTAAATATTTCATAGCAGTTACATACCAGACATAAATACCAACTTAAGGTTACCTGACAAATTTTTCCCCAATGCTCAACTAAAGACTCAAATTGACATGCTCTGATCCGACCAGTGGATCTGCTCGATGGACCACCAAATTCTTGAGTGTTTACACGAGAATATGTACAAAAAAATACACCAAAATCTTGAAATCACACTATGGCATGAACTCAAAATGTGAACCCAGATAAGATGAAAAGTTCCCTTATTATCTTATCTGGGTTCAATTAATTTTGAATTGAAAAAGCTTCCTGGATGGGAAGCGAAACGTCTTCAAACTATGAAACAAAGTCCAATGGATTGTTTTTAATTTTCTTTTTTTTTTTGAAAGACGAAAGACGTTCCAGCCAGATCAAATAATATGTTTACACAAGACTGCTGAAGAGGAACCTCAGTCATAAACACAACTGTCAAGCATCTATGTGTGTAGATATTATAACAGCTGTTGTTTTTTTATGAGTCCTATCATATAACTTTAGTTCCTTGTTTACTGTAATATTAGTGTTTTGTCCACCTATGCCTTAAAAACAAATGTTCCTCTGGACAGGAGATAACAGCGCTGCAAACAGACTCCATTAGCCTTTTTATTTTCTGCTAAACTTGGCACACTTAAGTCAATTTATTTATGTATTTATGTGTTCTTAGTGCTTCTATCACATGTTTTAGCTGTTTTTAACTGAAAACAACCCTTTATAGTTTGTTTATGTGGTGCTTAAGTTAGCCAGAAAGATTTAGATAATTTTTAAGTTTTATTATGTGATTTGTTCTCTAACTGATGAAGTATTTTCTTTATTTTTTCTTTTCTTTTTTTTTGCACAACTTGCTCTTTATTTTAATCCAGGCAGGAGGGTTCTTTCAAACTCATTAATACATTTTCGTGCTTTAATTATTTCATAAACATTTTCTCTATTCTGCCGATTTCTGTTGGAACTTGTCATCTTATCTCGGTTCACATAAAGTCTCACGAACCTGCCTCATCAATTTAGTCAAAATTGGTTCTTCTTGAATAATATGTTTTTCCTAAACGATTAAATTAAAACAGCAGCACTTAATCAAAAATAATTTTGTGTATTTTTTCCAGAGAGAGCCACAGATGGAGGCCTGCAGAGTGAGGACTGGACTCTGAATATGGAGATCTGCGACATCATAAATGAAACGGACGAGGGGTGAGCCTCCATGCCCGTTATTGTTATTCGTCTTGTAGTGCTGTTTGTTGCCCTGAAGAATTTGGTGTGGGTCAGTGTTCCAGAAACACTTAACTTCCCATAGCAGCTTGTAACAGAGCTTTCACCGTCTTCTCCCGGGTCAGATGGAAGGAGGGACTGAAGCAAATAATGCACTGCCTACTGTTATTTGCCAGAAGTCAGCACACCAGACAAAAAACCCTTTTGTTTGTTGTTTTCATGTCATTGACTAAATGAATGAAAGATGTCAGATCCTCAGCTGGTCTCCTAAAATACAAAAAGGCCCAGTCTGCAATGAAGACTTTAATTCTAACAGATCTATATTCATAGTAAATATGGATGCCTTCAATGGCCAAATGGAAAAGCCTAAAATTTCTGCAATATTTTAAACATTTGTACTTTCATAATTTGTTTAATGCTCTGTTCGTCCACCCATCCCTCCATCTGCACTGTATCTGGAAAGTCAAAAAAAAAAAAAGTAAATAGGGGATGAGTTCTTTCTGCATCATTTTGTCTTTAAGATGTTCAGTAAGACTCCAAAAACTGAAATCAGCCGATTTTGAGTATGCTTTGATTAACCTTTGTTTGATGTTCCCCTACCACTTGCTTTGTGTGCCTTTTGCAAAGATCAGCTTTCTAAAAGTGTGACAGCAGATGGTGTATTTGAATGAGATAAACCAAAACAGATGCAATGCCCAATATCAGACAAATATGTACACTGTGCAATCATGTGCTCCACACTTTGCAAGGAGAAAAAAATATTTTTCCTACTTCTTTTTCTGTGCTCGTCCATCTTTATCAGTGTCAGCACAGCAGCCATACTTAGTACCTGTTATGAGCTTATGAATGGGATGGGAACACCTTATTATCCCCCATCTTCATTGAAGGGAAGGGAATATTAGGCAGAAAGCCAGCCTGTGCTCTTTATGCATGGGAAGCTTTGATGTTGTCTATTTGGGAGAGGCGTTCTGCTGTCACTCAGAAAGGAAAAAAGGGACAGCCAGATGGTGTGACAGTTCTTCTCAGTCTCACTCACTGACATCTGTTGTTGCGTCCCCGAAACAAGTCCATTCCAACTAAGTCAGAGGTATCATGCTGACTCACAGCAGGAGTTCTTAATGCTTTTTGCTTTCCAGACCAAAAGATGCGATGCGTGCCCTAAAGAAGAGACTGAGTGGCAACAAGAACTTCAGAGAGGTTATGCTGGCGCTGACGGTAAGTCGTACCTTTAGCTGGGTAAGGATGCATGTATGCTGTCCAGTCCAAGGAAAGCTCATATGGACTTAAATATGGTGCAAACAACCACATATCTCCACAAACGTATGAATGGAAAACATGAGACTTTTGATCAATTAGTTTTCAAAAGGCCTCGAGAGACTGTAGATATAAGTTTCAAAAAACCAAAGTAAAAATGCATTAAGAATCTGACTTAAGCAAAATAATATCTTTACAAAAAGTAAAGAGGACTCACCAGATGCATTGTGATAAAATGTGGCTTCCCACCCGGCTTTCAATAGTCTCAAATTTGATTTGAGTATTTTGTACATCAACCTAAGAAGGAAAACGTGTCTTATTCACTATCCTACTGTCCAAATTGTCTGTCTTTCTTTTTTCTTCCTTATATCGTTTCCTACAAGCTTTCCTTTTTAAAAATAATTCCTTCCTTCCTTCCTTCCTTCCTTCCTTCCTTCCTTCCTTCCTTCCTTCCTTCCTTCCTTCCTTCCTTCCTTCCTTCCTTCCTTCCTTCCTTCCTTCCTTCCTTCCTTCCTTCCTTCCTTCCTTCCTTCCTTCTGTACTTTCATTTATTTGATCCATATAAATGACCAGGATAACTTTTTTTTTTTTTTTTTTTTTTTGAGAAAAGGGGAGCCAATAGTGAGAGTTAACCTTAACAGAGGGCAACAGCACACTAATCCTGCCTCTGATCAGCTTCTTGTATATATTCCTTCCTTTCTCCTTTGTTACTTTATCTGTTAACATTTTTCTGCGTGACTGGTGTGTTTTTGCAGGTTCTGGAGACATGTGTAAAGAACTGTGGTCACAGGTTTCACGTCCATGTGGCCAACAGAGATTTTATCGACGGCGTCCTGGTCAAAATAATCTCCCCCAAAGCAAACCCGCCCACAATCGTGCAGGACAAAGTGCTGTCCCTCATACAAGTAACAAAGCTTTCTTTCCTTTTTTCCCTGTTTGTATGGCTATGTTGTTTTTTTTCACAGGAATGCATTCCATTTCTCTCTTTCCAGATAAAAACATAGAGGTGTTGTGGTGTAAATTGTATGCCACCTCTCACACTTTTTTGTGTTACTGCCAAAATCTTTCATGTGTTTTTAGTAAGACCGTTGATTAAATACAGCTTCTAGTGTTATTTTTTTATTTTTTTTTATGAGGTTACCTAAGAATACAGATGGTTTCTATTTAATTATCAGCATTTGGAAGGAATTGTTTGTTGAGTTGACGATTTTTGAAGGAGGTTGGACGAGTTTATCTTGTATTTCATTGTTGTTTTGTTTATTTTAATAATTTTTACTGATTGTCAGAATTAAATTAGACAGTTAAAGTGTTTAATTGAATTTTACCTTATAGTCCTGGGCTGATGCCTTTAGGAGCAGTCCTGATCTTACCGGCGTGGTCCATATCTACGAGGAGCTGAAGAGGAAAGGCGTTGAGTTTCCGATGGCAGACCTGGATGCTTTGTCTCCGATTCACACGCCACAGAGGGTAGGAATACAAACTTTTCCTTTTGAAAGTTTAGGAATTTGGTTAAACAACTGTGCTGTTTTCTTTTAAACCATAGGGTACCCCTGAAGTGGACCCGGCTATGTTAAAGTACCTCGCTCCTAACAATTCAACTGGGGGTCCTCCTAAACCCAGCCAGTCCACTCCCACCACAACACAGGCCTCCAACATCCCCAGCCCCGTCACTGTTACCCCTGAACAGGTGATAACTCGCTTCATAACTGAATTTTAGACGTTGATTTGAAATCAAGTGATAAATAAAAGCAGATTTTACCATCAGACTGGAGACCATTTACTGATTTTTTTTTTTTTTTTTTTTTTGGGCTTATAGATTGCACGGCTACGGAGCGAGCTGGACATTGTGAGAGGAAACATTAAAGTCATATCAGAGATGCTTACAGAACTGGTCCCTGGTCAGGAAGATGCTTCTGACTTGGAGCTCCTCCAGGTGAGATCTGAGTTGATTAGTTTATTCAAGCTGTGTTAATGTCTTTAACAGTCTCAGATCACTCTTTAATCCCAACATAAAACAAAACAAAAAATGTAGAAATAATGACAAAAAGCCAAAATTTATTTCAGTTTTAGCGTCCAAAGTGAGTAGTTGTAACACCTGGTGTCCATCAGGGGGTGTGATGTGTCGACTTTTCACACCATCAGCAGTAACAGAGAGAGAAGGAGGTGATATTCCCTGAGGTGGCAGTCGGCCAGGGTTACAGGGATCTGTGTAGAATTTAACGTCCTCTGGCCAAATCCACTCAGGTATTTGTGTCAGCGCCATGGATTTGGCTTTACTGCTCAAAAACTGCTGCCACTTAAAACCACACTGTTACAGAATCATGAAGTTGTGTAGATATCCTCATCTTCTTTAAGAATATATGTCTGTAAAAATCGGCAAAGGAGAGCTTCTTTGCCTTTTTTTTTTTTTGTTTGGTTAAATTTTTTTTGCACTGCTTGGTTCTCACAGCTCTTTTGTCTTCCCTGCATCAATCTGTCTTCATGTCCCTCCATCCAGGAGCTTAACAGAACATGCCGCGCCATGCAGCAGAGAGTGGTTGAGCTAATAGGTCGTGTGTCCAACGAGGAAGTGACTGAGGAGCTTCTGCACGTCAACGACGACCTCAACAATATATTCCTTCGATATGAGAGGTGTGTTGATTAAAAGTCTGAGTGTATGTGCTTGGTTAGAGATAAAGTTTACTCTTCATCTCTTAAATGTGACTAAACATTTTGATAATAGTTTTCATTTTACGAAATAAGCCTTACAACAAAAAGCATTGTGCAGTACTCTACCATCTTCTGCGTTTTGCAAAAAACTTCATGTGTTTAAAATAAGAGACGTACTAGACAAAACAGGAGGTGAAACTCACATGATTCTCTTTCGCTCGCAGGTATGAGAGGTACAGGTTGGGCAGGGCTGCACAAAACAACGGGGTATGTATCATCAACAGAGAAAAATTACATTGTGTTTTGTATTATGGTATGTAGCACTTTATGGAACAATGACAGAGATTTTTTGGGGGGGGAATCCAAAACACTATCATCACAGTTGTTATATAATACACAAGAAATCAGAATATAACATGAAACACTTTTAAAATCTGAAACTGGACAGGTGAGGTCTGCTGTATGAACACTTTCTCATAGTCTTAACAAACCATCTAAACAAACAGTGATGGCAACGTCATGCTGTGGGGATGTTTACCTCATCAAGATATAAAGCTGGTGATAATGGGTCAACAGATGCTAATTCATTGATTGAGAGTCTGTGGCCAGATTTGAAGATCTATGTTCACTAAAGCTGTTTCTAAAGAATGCAAATATCTTTCAGTGAAAGTTTTTTCTAGACTTGTTTTTCAGGGATGGTAAAAATGGTATCATCATGTCCCATTTCTCTTCCAGTTTATTATACATGCTGATCTGTTGCATTAATCCTAACAAAATAGAAAATAAACGTTCCAAAACAATGAGTACTTTTAAAAGGCACTTTACTTAATTCTTAACAAAGCCTACTATATACAGGTGCTGGTCATAAAATTAGAACATCATGAAAAAGTAGATTGATTTCAGTAATTCCATTTAAAAAGTGAAACTTGTATATTATATTCATACATTACATACAAACTCATATATTTCAGATGTTTATTTTGTTTAATTTTGATGATTACAAATGACAACAAATGAAAATCTCAAATTCATCATATCAGAAAATTAGAATATTGTGAAAAGGTTCAAAATTGATGGCCCCTGGTGCCACACTCTAATCAGCTAATTAACTCAAACCACCTGCAAAAGCCTTTAAATGGTCTTTCAGTCTAGTTCTATAGGCTACACAATCATGGGGAAGACTGCTGACTTGACAGTTGTCCAAAAGACGACCATCGACACCTTGCACAAGGAGGGCAAGACACAAAAGGTCATCGCTAAAGAGGCTGGCTGTTCACAGAGCTCAGTGTCCAAGCACATTAATAGAGAGGCGAAGGGAAGGAAAAGATGTGGTCGAAAAAAGTGTACAAGCAAGAGAGATAACCGCACCCTGGAGAGGATTGTGAAACAAAACCCATTCAAAAATGTGGGGGAGATTCACAAAGAGTGGACTGCAGCTGGAGTGAGTGCTTCAAGAACCACCACACACAGACGTATGAAAGACATGGGTTTCTGCTGTCGCATTCCTTGTGTCAAGCCACTCTTGAACCACAGACAGCGTCAGAAGCGTCTTGCCTGGGCTAAAGAGAAACAGGACTGGACTGCTGGTGAGTGGTCCAAAGTCATGTTCTCTGATGAAAGTAAATTTTGCATTTCCTTTGGAAATCAAGGTCCCAGAGTCTGGAGGAAAAGAAGAGAGGCACTTCATCCACGTTGCTTGAAGTCCAGTGTAAAGTTTCCACAGTCAGTGATGGTTTGGGGTGCCATGTCATCTGCTGATCAAATATGTTGCTTTTAATCATCTAACTTTTGAAAAAAACCTAATTAATTGAAGCTCTAAACAATGATTGACTGCTCCATTCTCCCTGAACTTAAACATGGCATCTTCAAGCTTATTTAGGTTTAATATGCATCTTTCCAATCTTTTCCCTCAGATGTTAGCTGAGACTACAGAAGATAACCTCATAGACCTGGGGCCAGGCTCTCCCGCCGTGGTTACACCCAGAATTACGTCCAGCCCTCCATCCAGCTCCGCCCAGAGAGACGCAGCGTCAGCAACTCACAACCCCACAGCTTCCTTATCTACTGCACTCGCTAATCTTGGTAGGGAGATAAGTGTTAGCTTTTTCCTTTTTTTTGGATCTTTGATCGATTGAAAGATCCAGGACAGGAAAAAAGCCTGTTACTTTCATAATTAGAGCTTCTTAATTCCTTTTTTGTCTTTTTTCTCTTATCATTTTGATAATTGGTTAAAGTAAAAAGAGTTTCCATTAACCTCCTTTTAAATGCATTAAAAAGGAGACTGACTGAAGTCTGGAGGCTGCTGCCATAAGACCTTGAACATTTCTGCAGATCTTCATATGATATAAACAGTAAACTAGAGTTTCTTTCCTTCCATGACCAGTTACACATTTTTCTCAGTTTTCAAAAGTTTTTTTTATGTTGGAAGTTAGTATTTTGTGCCGAACAGACAAACGCGATCAATGTTTAGATCAGCTTTCTTCTTCTCTTGATCCAGATGTAGGCCCCGACACTGTGAGCGGTACACTCACCTCTCTGTCGGGCACAAATAAAGACGATTTTGACATGTTCGCCCAGACCAGGAGCAGCTCGCTGGCTGAACAACGCAAAAAGTAGGTCTTCATATCATTTTTTGAATAACAGATTACTCAATCCCTAATCATTTAGTAAGCTAGCTCAATTACAAAAGAAAAAAAGAAATACAATGTCCAAATGGATGGGTTTGAATCGGAAAGGACAGAGCATCAACTAGAAAGCGCAGAGAAGAATCACTATATATATCAGTACAATATCTCTGGTTGAATTATGCTTTGATCTCTTAGTTGAAAAAGCAGCCTGCAACATTACTTTGCTCCTCCTTGCAGAACGATGGGGCTCATGTTTGTGTTATATTCAGCATTTCTTTCCCTGCAATCACAGATAATCAAGTTGGTCTTAAAGAGCTTGCATAATTTTGCTCTAAATCTTTCTGAACCATTTAGCTGTTCACTGAAAAATTTAAGAGAATTATTGCATCTCTTCTTTCCCTCATTATTTTTTTCCAGCTTTGTAATGTTTACCTTATACAATAACATACTAATGGAATCTAATGCTGCTTATCCAGAGGTTAGAGGTCTGTTTTTCCATTTCCTGAGATTAGAATAATACTAATCTGAATTTAACTCACCTATTTTTTTTCAATATTTGTTTCCTATTTTTCTGCTAATTTTTTTATAAGCATTAACTAGTTTTCACACTTTGGTGCGCAGCGTAAAATATGAAGAACCCCACGCTCTGGGAGGCCTAGCCTCTGCTTTGGATGTGAGACAACAAAACACAAGTGGGGTGAGTACATTGGAGCATGGAGTTTCTGTTAACTTTAACATGTAGGGAGCATTCGGGGTGTGATCTACAAAATCTTTATTTTAGGTTTTGTTTTTCTAGTGGCTCCCTGCTGTTTATTATTGGCTACTGTAAATGATCAAATGTTAGAAGAAAAAAAAAGGAAGCCTTGTTTAGCTGAGGAAAGAAAGTTAGTAGGTTTAAATGAAGTGTTGAAAGTGGGCTAAAGCGGGTTAAAACCAATGTTATTTTATAAGTTAAGATGTGTATCTCAATCTTTTTGTCATTTGCGAAGATAGATTTGGATCTAAAAACATATCTTAATAGTCTGTTGTCCAAATTCAGATTTTTCTGTCCTTATCTCTTGGTGTGTTTCCACATTCTGAACAGTTCTACTCAGATTTGGAGTTTCATGACTTACTTTTTTATTGAATATAAATTCCTTTTTTCCCCACTTTGTTTTCCTTATTCCTATTTTTTCAAAATCATCCTTTATTTTGGTTTTTAATTTTCTTTGAATGAAAGTTGTCTCCTGCACTTTTGACTTCTCCTCTGTCTTCTTTCTCTGGACTGTGTGCTATGCTGTGGTCGGGGCCTTTCTTCTCTTGAGTAAGGTCTTATTCTGTTGTTGATTCAGCTGAGGGTAAAAGGGGATGATAACCCAGCAGATCAGGAGCTGCCCATAGACAGCTGGCTTATTACCCAAGGAATGGTGAGGACTCTATCCACAGTGTGTCCTCCTAGCCCTCCCTTTGTTTTTACCAGCATTTACGCTAGCATCATTCATTACCTTCATCAGATTTTTTTTTAGCCTCACCTCAACACTTTGGTTTGACATCCATAACCAACCCTAATAACAGTGTTTATTGTCCTTAAGCATTTACTTTCATATATAATAAAGATGTGTTCTAGTGGTGGGAAAAATTATGACAGAAATAAAATATTGTTAATATTGTCGGTCGCATTAGCTGAGAATCAATCGATATTTTATTTTATTACATACAAAGTTTTCATATAGTATGCTTTCCATTTAAAATATGTCAAATATATTTCATTCAATCAATATATTTCATTGAAGATGAGATTAATTTCGCCCACCTCTTTTATACATTTGTTTTTGACAGAGCACTACACACCATGTTTATTACGGTTAGTTACTGTAAAACCACTTCCTCATAGATCTTATAAGGGGTCTGATGGTTTTGTTTTAATGCTTCATTATCCTGTAGCAAACACTCACTAAACCCAAAGAAGTGGACATACTCCCCCAAGGCAGCAAGACATATTTTCAATTTTGAATAACGTTTTAGATGGTGTAACTGTAAATATATTTTCCAATGTTTAAAAAAAAAAAGTTTCAATGTGGAAAACTAAGAACAATTCGGGTCATCAGATCTTTAAATATTAGATTTCGTAAAAAAATCCAAGAACTATTCTGGACAGAGCTGGCCCAAGGCAAAGCAGACCAAGTAGCTGCTTAGTGCATTGCTAGGCCAACAAGGGGCGCTAAAGAGCCATTCAGTGCACCAACCTTTACATCCGTAAACTCTTAATTCAACTCTTAATTGATCCAGCCTGAGGTTGGAAATGCTGAGTGTTTGGTATCATTAAAGCTACTGTGAGTCAGTTAAATCAAATCTGAGTAAGTCCGGTTAACTCAGTTGACCACGCAAGTAACAACTTTGAAAAGCCATTATTAGTGAAGCCCCGATTTAACAAGTCACTGTTTTACCCCACTGGAACTAGAGATTTTAAAGCAGAAATCAAAAAAGCAAAAACAAGTAAAGGATGTGTTTAAAAGGCAGAGAAACAGAACTACAACTAGAAAGAAGAAGATGGCGAACGAGAAGATTCATCCTGAGTTAATACTCAGGTTTATATGAAGTTTGTTATGGCAGGCAATGTTTAGATGTATTAAAAGCGCTCTCCTCTCTGTTGTTCCATTTGTAGATCACTAAAATAGGGCTCTTCCTGGTCAAAACCACATTCACAGTCAGATCAGTAATAACAGATTTTCTTAATTACATTTGTGCCGCAGAAACTGAATTTCAGAAAGGGAAAAACAAAATTGTACTACTGAGAATTAAGTTTTATTTACCTACAAATGTTCACACATTATAAGTGGCCATTTTGACATTCTTAACCTTGACTGAAAATTTATTTATATCTGAAATACCTTTCTTCATGGTCAAAATAATACAAATGCTGACCATTAACAATAGGAATCTGAAATTCTAAAATTCATTTTAGACACCCAATATGTTTATTTTAGATATGAAGAAAGTCATTTTGTTTGAAATTGTCATTTTGACAGGTACATTTTTTTTTAGATATTACAAATACAAATTCAGTTAAACTAATAAATATAAAAATGGCTTGCCAAAATAACCAAAAGTAACCAAAGTAACATGACGGAGAAAAGTAGTTTACTGCTTCAGTGGTGCAATCACCTGGCAGTAGGTGAAGATGAAGTCTAAAATCATTGTTCTAACTGGTAGGACCTGTGCATTATCTCATGGAGTTCCTCCTCATTTTGATTCTGCCTTCCATCACACAGTAAATACTAATTGGCTGTTTGCAGCTGCTTTGGATCAGAAATCCCCTGACTAAATCAGGAAATAAAATGATGTCACTGGCTCTAAGGAGAGCGAAAACATAGGATACAAAACTTGCTCCTGACTTGGTTAGCTCTAGGGAGAATGTTACCACGGTAACAGAAACAGGTTTACTAAACTCTTTATGAAACAGAAAACTGAGGTATAAAGGTCTAGAGTGGGCTATTAGGCCCTGTCTTACAGCCACAATTAAAAACTAAAGTCAGTAAGTTCAGAAAAATGCTCAGAAACCATTGTTGTGTTGTGGGGAGTATTATCTGTTTTCAGATCTTCCACATTTCACATAGAAAATAACCTCAATAAAATGACTAACAAAGACCATATAAGTTTGTTTATATACACTTCTCAAAAAATTAAAGGAACACTTTGTGAGCAGAGTATAGCATCAATTTTATTAAAGTTCTGGGATATTATTTGGTCAGGTAAGTAGCAGAGAGGTTGTTAATCAGTTTCAGCTGCTTTGGTGTTAATTAAATTAACAATAGGTGCACTAGAGGGGCCACAACGAGACAACCATCAAAATGAATGATTTTACAGGAGGAGGCCACTGACATTTTTTCCCCTCCTCATCTTTTCTGACTCTTTTTCACCAGTTTTGCATTTGGCTAGGGTCACTGTCACTACTGTAAACATGAGGCGCTACCTGGACCCTACAGAGGTTGCACAGGCAGTCCAACTCCTCCAGGATGGCACATCAATACATGCCATTGCCAGAAGGTTTGCTGTGTCTCCCAGCACAATCTCAAGAGCATGGAGGAGATGTCAGGAGACAGGCAGTTACTCCAGGAGAGCTGGACAGGGCAGTAGAAGGTCTACAACCCATCAGCAGGACCGGTATCTGCTCCTTTGTGCAGGGAGGAGCAGGAGGAGCACTGCCAGAGCTCTACAAAATGACCTCCAGCAGGCCACTGGTGTGAATATCTCTGACCAAACAATCAGAAACAGACTTCACGAGGGTGGACTGAGGTCCTGCCGTCCTCTAGTGGGCCCTGTGCTTACTGCCCAACACCGTGGAGCTCAATTGGCATTTGCCACGGAACACCAGAATTGGCAAGTCCTCCACTGGCATTGAGTGCTTTTCACAGATGAGAGCACGTTCACCCTGAGCACATGTGACAGACGTGAAAGGGTCTGGAGAAGCCTTGGAGAACGTTATGCTGCCTGTAACATTGTTCAGCATGACCCGTTTGGTGGTGGGTCAGTGATGGTCTGGGGAGGCATATCCATGGAGGGACATACAGACCTATACAGGCTAGACAACGGCACCCTGACTGCCATTAGGTATCGGAATGAAATCCTTGCTCCCATTGTCAGACCCTATGCTGGTGCAGTGTGTCCTGGGTTCCTCCTGGTGCACGACAATGCCCGGCCTCATGTGACGAGAGTATGCAGGCAGTTTCTGGAGGATGAAGGAATTGATACGATTGATTGGCCCCCACGCTCGCCTGACCTAAATCCAATAGAACACCTCTGCAACATTATGTTTCGATCTGTCAGATGCCACCAGGTTGCACCTCAGACTGTCCAGGTTCTCAGTGATGCCCTGGTCCAGATTTGGGAGGAGATACCCCAGGGCGCCATCCGTCGTCTCATTAGGAGCATGCCCTGATGATGTCAGGCGTGCATACACACACGTGGGGGCCATACAAATTACTGAATACCATTTTGAGTTGCTGAAATTAAATTTCAGCTAAATGGACTAGCCTGCCACATAATTTTTTCACTGTAATCTTTGGGGTGTCTTTGAATTCAGCCCTCTGTAGGTTGATCATTTTCATTTCTATCAAATGATATGGCATTCTTCCATTCCTAAAACATCCCCCAGTCCATATCAGTGTAAATATCAGCATGAATTTGTCCCCATTGAGATCTGATGTGTTTTCAAAGTGTTCCTTTCATTTTTTGAGCAGTGTAGTTTAATCTCACTTTATGTGGGAAATGTTGCATCGCGGACTTTTATTAGAAACGGGTGTCTTATTTTGCACGTTTCTGTAATATTTTCTCCTCTCTTTGTTTGCATGAGTTTCTCTTTTTTTGAACAGCCTTCATAGCCTAACTCCCTCAACCTGTATTTCTATATGCTCCTACCTTACATAAACTGTGCTCACAAAAGGAAACTCTACCAACTTTTTGTACGGCGTCAGAAATTCATCACCGTCTGTGATGATCTGTTGATGTTGAGCTAAAAACCCAACTTTGATGTTATTTCAAAGCACCAGAGTGAGTGGAGATACGGTTATTAGACTTTTTTTTCTCCTGGTAGAAAGCAGAGGTTAATATATTTCTGCTCTCACTCTTGTGAATTTTTTTTTTCCAAACGTACCCAGTACAGCAAATCCCTCATTAACTCCCTCATGGAACATATAGATAGAAATGTATAAAACCGCCGTCCGCTCTGGCGTGGCTTTCATCAGCAGCATAACTGTACACCATGCTGACGCGCCCTGCGCCCCATCCTGTGAGCATGCACGCTCTGTGCACCTGCCCTGTCATTTCACCGTCCCTGCGCTCTCAGCTTTCCGCATCCAATCAATCTCAGAATCCCGCTCAAACTACTTGCTGATTAACTAATGATATGAAATAAGGACTGCGGCTGTGTGACATCCATCATCAGCTGTTCAGCTATGCGTGCACAGTGAAGTCAAAAAGAGTAATATGCAAACTGGAAGACGGCCCTCATATGTAGACTCTCCAATTGGCTGATGATTATGTTTAAAGTAGCTATTTTTATCCTTTGAGAAAATTATTTTTTATTTTTGTCTATTTTTATCATTTGTGTCTATTTGGTGGTTCTTCTTCTTGATGTTTGTATGTTGCATCTGTGTTTTTCTTTTTTTTTGTTGGGGTTTGTTTGTCTCTTACTTTTATGGCCTTGGTGCAACCGTTTGGTTCGTCCATGGTGTTGTTCTATAGATCCCCGTGTCGCAGTCCTCTGTCATGGATGACATAGAGGAGTGGCTCTGTGCTGATGTGGTGAGACTTTTTAATACCTTGATTTTCTTTTTTTGTCCTGTTTCCTTCTCCTTTCTTCTTGTTTTCTTTGCTACTGTTTTTTTTTTTTTTATCCATCCAATTTATGTTACTAATCATATTTTCCTTAAACTTAACGGTTTTCTTCTTACTTTAAGCCTGTTTTATTCCACACTTATTAGGTGTAATTCTTTAAGTCTGTCTTACTAATCTGGTTGAATACTGGAGCTTGGGGAAGATGTTAAGGGGCTCAGAAAGGTTATTTGCTGTCTAATGTTTGCATGAATTTTGAGATTCTTCGTGTTGTGAATTTTACTCGCAGCTGAACGAGTTTTTATTTTCTAACTTAATGGTTTAGCTAAAGTTTTTCTCCTTACAACTGCTTCTCTCTTTTAAATAGAAAGGAGATGCTGCTGAAGAGGGAGTGACCAGTGAAGGTTAGCCCTCTAAAATTACTTTAATTCCTCTCGAACTTCTTCAGATCTTTTTAATGCTGCTAACTACAAACTTGAATGTATTTTATTGGGATTTGATTTGAAAGATATTTCAAATCAAGCAAGATAGAACTTGAAATTGCAAAGTTATACATAGTTTTGTCAAATTTGTGGAAAAGGTTCCTATCAGGCTTCTATTTAACAATGAAGAGCCTCCTTGTTCTTGCTTTTTAAAAGCTCCCACCGCCATGTTTGCCAACTTTTATGTTCAGAGCGATGTTCAGCATTTAGATCGCGGCAGATGGTTAATGTGACTTTTATTCTCACCACAATTCAATCTTAGCTGGATGGTAACCTGTTAGATTTTATTTGTCCAGACATTTTCAAAACCATGCATTAATATAACATCCCAATAAAATGCAATAAAGTTAATTGTTGTAATTTCAAAAAATTGTATAGAAAAGTTCCAGACCTTTACAAGGCACTGTATTTTTTTTATACCTGAAAACATGAGTGGTGTGTGAAATGTCCTTGCGATAATATATGTCAAAGATGAGTTGATTTCTTTCTTTCAGAGTTTGATAAGTTCCTAGAGGAGCGCGCTAAGGCAGCAGACACTTTGCCATCTCCCCCCGGAGCTAACCCTGCTCAACCTGCTCGACCCACGACCGGCTCCAGCAAGAAGGCTGAGCGGACAGAGGATGCCCTCTTTGCCTTGTAGACTGTTTCCAGCGAAAATTAGCTTCTGCAGCAGGAATCCGGAAGGTCATCCTAGATGATTCCCCTCCAGATCATCTCTTCTAGTTCCACTTTACTGCTAACTGGATGGAAGTGGTGTTGCAAGTGAACTCCACCTCCTTGCTCTTCTCTTGCTTGAACCCATTAAGGTCAAACGTGTTTACTGCACATTCTGCTGTGTTCCGTTTTGCGATAGATGGATGTATAAATCAGTTCATGTGGGATGTAGAACTCGCAGGCTTGCAGCTCATTTGCAGCTATCCCACTAAATGAAGACTACCAACTCTGTCTCATTTTGTGGAAGAATGTAGTTTATTACTATTAAAATTAACAGTGCAGGCTGATGCATTGAATTTTTATGAAAGCATACATTTAGAATATTTTATTTTTACTACATTCAGCTAATTGCATATTTATGCATTTGTTATAATGGTTGGATCTGTATTATGTTGCGGTTCACTTAATTCTTTAATCGGCTAATATTCACTTTATTCTGGTTTAACCTTTTAATATCAGTATTAATTGATGCGGTTGTAAAACCTGTTTTTGCCTGCTTACCGATAACACAGTAAAGAAAAAGCTGATTTGATGGGATTTCTTACTATAGAGGAATCCTCTGGAAAACCTCTAACCAAAGGGAAGTTTAATGGTGGTCAGTTTAAACATGTTAATGCATCTCAAATCACAAAAGGGAAGAAGTATGTCCATTTGATACTTTAAGCATCTTAAAAAAGAAACTTAAACATGAACTGGGACCATCAATTAGCATCAAGCACCTTTAGTCATTCCAAAGAATAGTAAGGCTTTAATGAGCAACTAGGACTTTATTTATTTATTATAATATATAAAATGTTAGACTAATGCGCTCTGTTGAGGTTAGTGCATGTTTTGGTGATTGAGAAGAAATAACTCAGATTTTATTTTATTTGATAAAAACCCTTTTTTTTGGCATCAGCCTCAAAATCTGTAGAAAAAGTGGGATATAGTTTACGTGTATATTTGCTTTAACTCATCATAATTTGAGATATATGCTAATTTATTTACATTCCATATTTATAGTGCAAAAATACACAGGACATATTTAGATGATACGCCAGAAATAGCGCCTCCTACAGTTCGGAAATGTTAACTGCAGTCCGTGAGAGCTGGTCTACTGGGTGTTTTCAGATGAGTCTCTGCTTTTACAGCACCTGGTTCAGGTAATTGCTGTAATTAGTCATTAATGGGAACCAGGTGTGCTGAAGCAGGGGCCGTTCCAAAACGTGCTATAAACTGGCCCCAGACTCAAATATTTTAAAATAAAATAAACCATCTTCATTGATAAGAATAGAATAGTAAGTAATTTTCCTCAAAGTTTAAAATGAATCACCAGACTTCTTTTCATATAGATTTTATTTCAGAAAAACAAATGGTGGGTTTGTATGCCTTGCTCATCTGTATTTGTACTAAACATTTTTTTAGTGCATGGACAAAGCCTCCTCTCATAGTCCGGGACATGAAAAATTATCTTTGCTAGTGATTAATAATATTTTAATAATGAAAAGAAAATCATTCCAAGTTTAATTCCCGTTCATCAGTTATTGACTAAGAGAAGAAAATGAGACCTTAATAATAATTATTTTTTTTAAACAAAGGATAGTAGCCACTTATTTTCTATTATTTATCTCTGAGATTCAATTACCAAAACATGCATGGACCACTAGTATATGAATATATTTTTTAAAAACGCATTAATGTATGTGCAATTTGCAAAAAAAATATCTATTTTTTTGTCTTTTGTGTTTTTAGAATTCATATTTTTGAAGAGAAAATAAGAATTAAGAATGACTTCACTTTGCACACTTCTTTTTTTCATCACTGCAGTGCTTGTTTAGGTTTATTTAGTATATCAAGTTTAGGTTAAAAAAAAACAATATTAGTCAATCACTTGGACAAAAGCAACATTTGTTTTTACAAGTATTGAGATGACAGAGATGCAGAATTAAAAAAACATAGATCCTTATATCATTTATAATATAAATATACAGTTCATAACACCCTTATATAGTCCCTTTTTTTAATTTTCTGCTTTATTTTTATAGTTTTTTTATTTTACACTATATTGTCAAGTGTGTTCAGTGGTGGGCGCCATCCTCAGTTTAGCTCCAGTGTAGATGGAAAAAAAAACTGCCAAAACAAAGTCCAATCTTTAATTAATCTATTTTTCTTTTATTTATTTATCAAAGTATTGCCTGACCCCCAGCTAGGTGCAATGTAAGGTTATTAGGAAGCTCCTATTATAGAGCATTTTTTTTGTCCACCAACAAAGTCTCAAATATTTTTTTCCCCCTGATTATTCTTGTAATATTTGAAACATAGTTCAAATGTAATATGGGGATTTATTTGGTATTAATGCTAAATGATTTGTGTTGTGAATTGGCCCTATATAAATAAACTGATTTAATTATTGCTGTATTGATGCAACTACTTAATGAGATGGTGGGTTAATGTTTTGCTTTGAGATTGCTTTCCATGCAGGTTGTACAATGACAAATACTGAGAAAGCTATTGGAGGTTATTTAAGATGATACGTCTATTTTCAGTATTTGTTTGTTACATGTCTTTGGGTCTATAACAGTACATTTTTTTTTGTACTACTTTCTTTGAAGTTCAGAACATTTTTCACAGATGTCTTAGCTGTCTATATTTTGGAACTTTAACATCATAAAACACAATATGTAGTCAAAGTTTAGACATCTCAGGTGTTCAACATCTCTTTGGCTGCACCTTGCCATTACTTATGATCAGATTTGTATTTGACCCTATGCACGTGTCTGACTGCCCAATAAAACACTGGTAATGTGTGACTGCTACCTCATTACTCTGTTCTTTTTCTCTCTCTTTATCTTTAGCAACAGTTCCCTGCGGCTTAATCCTGATGTAACCTAGCGTTATCTTGAACTGTGCTGGTTAGTCAATTCTCCCTCCTGTGGTTTAATAGCTAAACTTTTACCATTTGGCTCCTGGATATACAGTATTAAATTAATCCTGTTTACACATACAGTACAATACAAAAGAAACGGAATCACTCTAGTACCTTAGACTGTTTCCAATTGATAAGATTTAAAAAAGACTGAAAATGTGTCACATTTTCTGTGTGTGTGTGTGTGTAAGTTTCTGGACCATTTTCCCAATTTCATCACAATGAGGACCAGTTGTTGTAAAGTGAGGACTTTTTAGTGTTCCTCACAAGCTATTTTGCTAATGGTTAGGTTTAGGATTAAGGTGTCAATTGGGTTAGGATGAGGTGCGCATTGGTAAGGGTTAAATTTAGGGTTAGGGCATAAAAAGGGTTGAAAATGACTGGAAGTCAATGGGAGTCAACACATGGTCCTCACAATATATAGCAGAACAAGTGTGTGGGTGTGTATCAAGCTTTATTTCTAAAAAAAAAAAAATATTTTTTTTTCCCCCTCTTATACCTAAATAAGTCTAAACCTACCTAGCACCAGATATTAAATTAAAGTAAGCTGAATTAAAGTAAAGTAAGCTGAATGGTCTATGTGTGGGTGGCTGGTTAAGACGAAGGGATTATTATTTGGGTTTCTTTTAGTAAATGAGAGAGACATCTTAAAATTAATAAATTAAAACTTTGTCAAAGTAGAGTGAGTTTAGAAAAAAAAATCAGACTTATTTGAGAAGCCATTATTTACATTAATATAATACAGCCAGTCTGGTATGGCTGACCAGCTTTTTCATGTTTCGGTTTGCATTTTAACTATTTTAGTGATGAGCTACAAGTATCGCACTGCAAACAACTGAAATCTAAAGTCAGATTTCTTAAAATAAGTGGATTTTTTATTTGAAGAGGTAAGTACGACTCTTGAACATATAACATTTAAAATAGGAAAAAAACCTTTATTGTCTGATTTCCAGTGTTTATTATCTAATTATCTTATTTAAAGAGTTTAAATACTCATCCCATTGGCAAATCATCTTATTTACCCACTCAAATTAAAGGTAAATGATCATTTTTGCAGAGTTGATGTGTGAAGGCCTCTTGCCATTACCCTACATTTTACACCCCCCCCCCCCCGGATAGATTCTCAGAATTAAGTTGATAGTCTGAAGGAATATCTTGCTAAAGCTGTTAGAGGTATAAAGAATGTCTACTGTGCAAAAATTAAGGGTAGATGCTTAACACCAAACCCAACAATAGAGGGCTTCATTGTTGTTTAACTCAACTGCTGTCAACTTAGCAGTGCAACAGCAGGGCATTGACCTACTTCCACAGTTTTATAATTAGTCTTGTGTTGCTGGCACAGATTTACTTTTAATGAAAATCAATCATTTTTAGCATATGTTGACATCGAGAGGAAATAAGCATAACGTGAAAGATCTTAACATGAGGCATGCATCGCATGCTCACTCATTTCTGTAGGACAGCAGCACATGATGTAATGTTAAATTCAGCGCTATGACGTCGAATCACCCCACTCGGTTTCTGAGCTCCCTATTGGATGATTTCGCTGGTTCTACGGGAGGTGGGGCAGATTCCAGTCTAACAACCTTGACTACCGGGAGCTCCCTCCCACACGTAATTTCATTGGCTGAAGAGTATCATGTTTACAAAAACATTCACCTTTGTTTCCCCATATTCATGTACAATTGTACATTTTATGTGATATATAAAACCATATTGGAGTTAAAGTTAGAATGTATATCAGCTTAAAGCACAAATATATTTTTATGGAAATTGCACCGTTACTTTTTCCCTATACAGGATTGATAATTAAATCTTTAGATGCAGTACATTATATATATTTCTTATTAATAAAACCTCGCTTTTTGCATTGCTATCTAGTTGTTTTGAAGTGCGTACCACACCCTTTAACCACTTTGTTCAACATTCAAAACAACCATGAGAAACGTGGGAATTTCCTCCGAGCTCAATGATTGGCTGGCTCACCTGTCAATCTTCAGGGTTCGTGTGGGTTCCTCTGCTAGTGCTGAATGAGCTTCAGTGTTTAAATCGGTTTGACAAGTTTTCCAGGGAGGATCATGGGGGGCCAGTTTGTGTAGCTAGTTGACATATCGATTAAAAGGAAGCGCCCTGGGTAACTATAGCTTGATTTAGTCCTAAAGTTTAACAGATGTAGAGACTTCAGCTGTAAGGGATTCTCTAAGCTTTCTGAAATCAGGTATTACAGACTCTCTGGATCAGGGAATCCAACGAGAGTGAAGATGAACCGCCTGTCTTTTGACGATCCCTCCTTGGACCTGGATCCATCACTAGGCTCCCTTAATGACCCCAGTGAAATTGACACAGCCCTCTTAAGCGACATCGATGGTAAGCAGTTGTATATTAATATTGATGGCTATTAAGTTATTCATGTTTAAGATGCCATACAAAATATTGCATGGACATTTCTTTCAGCATGGGTTTCTATTAATTCGTATTGCGCATCTTATAGGTCATTTACATCCGTGACAATGTTAAGACTTTAGCAGCGTATCTTTAATAAGACTCATAGCTATTATTAGCAATTTAGCTGTCGAATGTTTTACAGTCTGGTTTCATGTATCATTTATATTGGTTTTATTTTTCACTGCAGGGGTTTGTTTATATAGTTTTGTATGCAAACTGGTTGTTTTCGTGCTAATTTTAGCAGTTTATCCAAGCTAGTAAGGCTAGCTTGTTGCTAGCGGTTGTGAGAAAGCCCCGCCCCCCGCGTGGCTCGCCGACTGAGGTTACTCTCGTTCATTCCTCCTTCCTGGGTTCAGCTCCCTAAGTTGACCGAATTAATGAGTTTATATGTTTAAAATCATCACACCAAATGGTGTCTTATTGCTCCAAGCCATGTAAGTTAGAAAATATGCAATGCACTTTGTGATATTAACTACACGGGAGGATGAAAAAGATGCATTTCTATAAGCAATGTCGGATTTTTTTTTCTAAAATAATTCCACTGTGGGTCGCTGTTTATTTTATGAGTTTTGCCAGCTTTTAGCGTGATAAGCAGGAGTAGGTAAACAGTATCGGGTCGTGCTTCCTAAATTTGACCGACTGTAACCTCCTGGTGACGCTGCACGATGGTAACCTCCTAGAGCCAAGCATCTCTCCCTCTGCTCGCTTTCTTTACTCTGCGTAGCGAGTCTGAAAGCCGCGCTCTGATTGGTCAGGAGCGATCACCTCATGCACAACAGTGAAGCTGCGTTGCACTTCAGACACAACATTGACCAAGTACCACGTCTGATGGATGCGCGTATCTTGGACTTTATCCCTTCAAATCAGGAAGTGTGAACTTTACTCCACATTAAAAAAAATAAAAATATAAAATTGAGCACATCTATCATTAGTATATTAAGAATAGAATTGAGAAAATGTCAAATCAGCCCCTAATTGAAATACTCTACACATTTAAAACCTGCAAAAATACATTATTTGAATATTATTCATATACAGTTGGTATATTTTAGACATCCTTGAACTCAAGACCAGTTTTCTAACAATATAAAATTACACAAAAGCTAATTCAGATATATATGTTTGTATGTGCCTTTGTGCACATGTAAATGGCAATCATTACAACAGATGCACAACTTGCAGCTCATTATATTAATTTTTTTTTCTGGATTATGGATTGTAATGTTTTATTTTCACAGACATGCTTCAACTCATCAACAATCAGGACATGGAGTTTGGAGGACTCTTTGATCCCACTCACTTTTCTGGGGGCCCATCCACCCAGGAAATCAATGGCCTGTCTCCGAGCATGACCCCTGCCTCTCCTCCAGCTTCTACTCCCACACCTTCATCTTCATCCACCACAACCTCCTCTATCCTGAGCAGCAATCCACACTTGGATGCCCTGTTGGGTCCGCCCATTAGCCGTAGCTCTTCAACCCCAGACAAAGCCTTCCAGCCTTCGACCTTCCAGCAGTCTCCTCTGGCTCAGGTACCCAGCTCTGCACAGAGGCAGCAGCCGTCGCCCAGCCAGCAGGCTCAGATCCTCAGACAGCCCCAGATGGAACCGGCCCAGCCGACCCCTGTTCAGACAGCATCCCCTCAATGTTCGCCTGCACCGAATCCCACTTTCAGCCCCGCGACACAAACGCTCTTCACTTCACCAGCACCTCAGACCCCAGCACAGCCTCAGGCACAGCCTCAGGCACAGAGCACCTTCAGGAGCCAGAGCAGCTTTACAGGTAAGTCGGGTAACGGACGCATCGACAAGGAAGAAATGGTGCTTTAAAAAGTGGGGGTAAAATATCATAAATCTTTGTAAAAGCTGCTCTGATAGTTTCGATTCAGTTCGAGGACTCTTTCCTTTTATGTCTCACAGTTTAACACCCATAATGTTTCCATTTGCTCTATAGCTGTATTATGTAATAGAAAAATAATCCAGCGGGAACTTTTAACTGTCTTTAACTCACTCATTTATTCCTAGAATGTCATCAGTGTTTGAGTATCAGCTCCTTTGAATCAATATGACTTGAATGTAAACTTGCTTAACTCATTAATGAAACTAAATAAGCTGTTCCCAGGCTGTGCATGTATCCTTTGCTCATGTCCTAATTTCACTTTGATGTTGTTTACATTTATTGCGTGTGTTCTGATACAACTATTAATTAGAAGGTAAAGAGTTGTCACAACGAAGAAGCCTTTGGATATTGCTTTAATCAAGCAATCCCCCCTAATTGCTATTTCATTGACTTGGCTAAATAACATTGGCAAAGGGCTGTGTTTGTGCAGCGCTTAATGTAGATATACTGTAGGTCCTGCAGTGTTAAGTAGGTTCCCTGTAGTTTATTATGCATGTGTATGCAGTGAGAAGCCACAATGTTCAGATTACCAATGGAAGCTGCTCCATGACT